GGCATCCTACCGCTCTGGGGTCCCAGAATCGAATTCGGACGGCTCGAAAAATCCCCAGGGATTTTTCGGGGTGGTCCGTTCGGATATGTCGGGCCCCGTCTATCACCACCCGGCCGCCTCATTGTCGAACCCATAATGGGCTTGCTAAATGAATTCCTCTTAGTGCTCACAGGGCAGAAAGAGTTAATTCCTTTACGACAACAATACCTGGCAATCTGTCACTATTGACTCTGAACGAAAAAAAATAAGGCGAGTGTATAAATTCATTGAACTGTCAGTAGAATGTAGGTTTACGCCTCACCAACGGGCTGGCTGAAGATTTCCGGATTTTCTTTACGTGTTTAACATCTAACGAGGAAATAGGGGTTTCCCCAGAGTCCTCCGGGAGGCGGCCCCTTGGCATATAACCCAATGTTGCGTTGCCTTATTCCATGAATCCATGAATCTCATCCGAAAAAGAAAAACGAACTCACATACAAATCGAGAAGAACCGCGTTCATTCACATTCACGATTAACCCGGCTGCAAAAATTCTCTCCCAATTTCCGGTCGCAATAATTTACCAAAATTTAGTAAATTATTGCGACCGGAAATTGGAACAGAAACAAAATGTCGAATGAATTCGCATTTTGTTTTATATACGTTCGAATTATTCGCACGAGCACTACTAATACAATAAAATTTACATTATATTTGGATACGTTTTCGTTTCACAAAATGGAGTTAGAGAAAAAATAAGACAACCTGTACTTTAGCATACGATCGATGAATTAATTCGAAATGAGCCAATTTTTCAAAACTGGAAAGATTTATATTTCCGTTTTAAAAAAATACTTCTAATATCAGTCATAAAATAGTTTAAAAACGATTTATTTTAAAAGAACGTAGAACATGGGAAATTCAACCTATTTATTACTTTGATTAAAAAAATAATCAGTATTAAATTGTTAGATACATAACAGTAAATCAGTTTGTAAGGATATGATTTTAGGATGCTAAAAATTTTAAAAAACGGGGTGAAGAGTGCTAAAAAAATCAAAAATGGTTCAAATAAATATTGCTAAAAATCATGTTAGGCATCCAACTTGAGTAAAAATTTTCATTTAAATTGCAGGGTACAGTATATTCTTCACAGGTCATTCATTTTTGTTTGTTCGTTAAGTTATGGCAACGCAACACTTGGGCGATCTGCCTAGGGGATGCCTTCCGGGAGGTCTTTTTAAGGGAAACTGGCCAATATTTAGGCGTTATAGACATGGAGAAAACCCGGAAAACTCATCGTGGCCAGCCCGTCCGAGCGAGGCGCGAATCCACGACCGAACTCCCAGTGTTCAGGATACGAAGGCAGCTTGGCCACTGCGTTCATTTTTATTTTCCTGGCTGTTATATACAACAGAGGGAAAGTATGGCGATCGTCAAAAANAAAAAAAAAAAAAAAAAAAAATTCAGGAAATTTTTCTGTATGTATGGATGTTAGTGTGGGGGGCACGATTTTGTTCACCCTCTTTGAAGTTTAGTAACTCTTGTGCTTTTTGCCGAAAATTTCTGAAATTTTGCAGGAATGTTTGTGTAGGGGAATGATACTATTAAATTTTGGGGGTTAAAGGTCGAAAGTATGGGGAAATAAAGACGGTCGTGTGTATCTCCAGTAGTTTCAACTAGCAATAATCGCGCCTCGGATTACTCGTTATTAGCATTTACATTTTTTTTTTTCATAAAACCCCTCCCTATCCTCAAAATTAATTTTTGCCATTTTATAATAATTAAAAATATTTTATTATAAAAAACTTTTTATATCATAACAGATGACGCTATACACGTAATTTTAAATGTTGCCGACAAAGTTGAGCAACTCGTTGCAGGATTTTTATCTCTAACTTAAAAACACTAGGATCAAATAAGTTATCGTTCTTCACTGGCGACACGTGATAACATCAATTCCATGAGTTAACAAAGAATATAACCCCTTTTCCAACGTGTCACCGCAAAACGCCACAGCGCGAATATTTGTTTGTTTAGTTAAGTTACGGCAACTCAACACTTGGACGATCTGCACTAGGGGGATGCCTTTCGGGAAATCTTTTTAAGGGTAACTGGTCCCTATTCAGGAATTGCAGACGTGGAGAAAACCCGGAAAATTCCACGTAGCCAGTACGTCCTGGCGAGGCGCGAATCTACGACCGAACTCCCAGTGTTCAGAGAACGGAACCGCTTGGTCACTGGTGGGCCACAACGCGAATGACTCTATCTCGAAAGTTGCGCCTGAAAAGTCAACAGTTTTTTAAATTAAAATTTAACTACAAATAGAAATAGTTACTATATGTACAGTACGTAGTTAATACGTAGCCTATATGAATTTGTATATATAATACCTTTACGAAAATTCCGCTATTTAGACTAGCATCATTGTTATGCCGTAAAACTCATCTCAGTCCACATCAAGTCGAGTTTACGGGACTCTACTGTATTGACATATTCTAAGTAAAATATACATTTTTCCCTCTTTTTTTTTTTCTTTTCTTTCTTCTTCTTCTTCGATGGTGTTTATATGGAGATTTTAGCTCAATGTAGGCTCTTTCTCCGAGTAGACTTGTGTATGTGTATGATCGCTAGGCGACCGATTAGCCGGCTGTATCGAACAGCCATACGTACGCGCGGGAAATAAATGCCTTCCGGGAGGACTTTTATGGGGAACTGGCCTCCTATTCAGTCGTTATAGGCAAGGAGAAAACCCGGAAAACTCCAAGCAGCCAGCCTGTCCGACCGTGGCGCGAACCCACGACGAACCTCCCAGTCTTTAGGGTCTGGTCACCACTACGATGAGCGGCAACGGAGAACACATTTTCCCCCCTCTTCATCCTGTGTGCCTTAAGAGTCTTTTCCCGAGCTCATCAAGGGTTCTGCCAGCCTGGGCAACCGAGTGATGATGGACGAGATCCTACATATTGGGGAGAGGACCATACCCGAAAAATTCCTGAAATTTTTTGACTGCCCAGATTTCCAGAGTGGTAAGTCGACGCTTTATCTGCTTGGGCTATCCTTCCGGCATTAAAACTTGTATAATTTTTAACAATGTTATAATTTGACTGCAAAGAGGCCAAGATAGTAAAAGCGTCATCCTGCTGCTCTGGGTAATCCGGGTTCGCATCTAATTCAGGAATTTTTCACGGAAGGTCAGTTTGACTCTGTCCTTCACCTCTCAGCCGTCCTGATTATAGGCTTGGCTAAATCCAGAATGTGTATGAAATAAAGGCTGCGTTAGACTACGTCCTACTTGGCAGCATTCAGCAACCGCGGGCGGATAGAATCTTTGTAGGCGCGTCCAGCTCACGAACGACCCGTCCGGAGTGGATATATGCTGTTTACAAAATGGCGGCGAGACGACTTCTTCGAATGCTTTCCATGAAAAAGTTTTCTACGTTGTATTATCAAAACTTTTTATGGGCAAAGAAACGATATTTATAAGAAATGTCGTCAGTTAGGTGAATTTCACTATTTGTATCGTGAAATAAAAGACGTTCAAGCTTTTCTTCTTCTTTGGAAGCGCGAGCAATGAAAGCGGCGATCAAGCTTTCTTGATAGTTGATTCCTGCACGCGTGTGCAGAAGAATCATTTGGTGGTCGCTGCACGTTAAACGCAGTTACACTGGACATACTGTATATATTCGTTTGTATTGGTTTGTCCGCTCCGCTCGCTAGCGCGTCTACGCCCGTGGTCGCCGGACGCTGCCATGTAGAAAGTACCATTAAACTGTCCACACAATGAAGAAGCAAAAAACTGCAAAAATGAAGAGGCTTGGCTTCCTCCTAACTGAGAATCTAATTAAGACATACAATTTTTTTTTTTAGATTTAAGTCTAGCTATTCACAGATAACAATTGTTAATGGATCAACTAATCAGATTATTTTGGCCGAAGAATTCAAACTCAGCACCCTCGAAAACTTTCAGGCATAAATTTTGCGCTTGCTTTTAACACGCCGATATTACAACTTTTTTGTTGGAATGCTACTGTTCCAGGCCCGGATTCACGAAAGTGTCATTAGTTAACGACGTCGCGAGAATACGACGTTATAAATACAGCAAATTTACGACATATCGTATCTGCAATTCACGGAACTCACTGTAACCCGATTTACTATTTACGACAAAATATCAGTGATCTGATTTCGAGAGTATAAAAATAATAATAATGGATAGCATGGATCCAACTATCATTTCTCGCGGAAAAAGTAATTGTTGGAGATTATGCCTAATTTGCGAAGAAGAGAAGAGTGTAAAGAGATGCAAATGGAGAGATTACAAAAGCGTTTCAAAAAGAAATGGCTAGTAAAATTTCTATATAATTGCTTATAACAATCCTGTTTATAATTTTAACGTGATTAAGAGAATATGCCATACATGAGGGGTACGAGTGTTTTCAACTTTTCAAGGAGGTTTCAGTTTCTCAATTAAACTAAAAATTGTTTCTCTGATATTCAAAAGTATCAGATTAATTCCGATAGCAAAATGTCGATCGACAGAAGAAATGAACAATACATTTTCGATGGACTGCGTATTTCGTCGATAAAAAAAAAAAAAAAAAAGCTAAATACTCATCGGCCATCTTGAATTGTCTTGACTTACAACCCATTCCATGTTGTAATATAACGACGCCCATTTACAACATTTTCTGTTACGACAAGTTTTGTGAATACCAAATTTTGTCGTATTGCAACTTACAACGAACGTTCGTCGTAAGTTGCGACATGACGCTTTCGTGAATCGGACCTTACTTTTCAAATGATTATGGGTTACTTCTTTTGTTTCGACTAACAGCGCACTTAACGTGATTAATTATATAATTATAAAATATGATTTTAACCATCCGAGGAACGCCTATTAAACTAAAGAAACAAAATTCAGTGAAACCTGCATAAGATGACCACTTTGAGCTGGACACTTCAGGTCCAGCTCAAAGTGGTCTTCTTTTCAGGTTTCATTAACAGGTTTCATTGTATTCTCAGTTGCCTTTTTACTAGAAAGTTTAATAAAAATATTAAAATCGTTTAATCTATTTCCAAACATTTCATTATAGATTCTACAGATAAAAAAAAATTATAGGTTTAAGTTTTTTGGAGCAGACTTTATTATAAGACTGGCAGTTCTGCACCATCTGTTGTTAAATATAGACATAATCCTTTAAATGCTTATTAGATTACTGGAAGTGTGGAAGATTCTCGAAGTTTTAGATATTGATAAAGTAAACTTGATTTTAAGGAATGTCGTTAAGTCATTTTGACGAGAAAAGAAATGTTGTGACGGTTTCTACGCCGTGGGGGAAGTGGTGGCAGACTGTAGGAGAAGTATTCTTAGAAGTGGATGTCGAAGAAGGAACTTTACCAAAGCAGATACAAATACAAATCAAACCAAATTCCATTAGCTGCAAAGTGAAGGATAAACAAATTTTTGAAGTAAGCGTAAATATACTCTAGAACTTACAAAAGCTGAGACAAGAATTTTTGATAAACTATAGATTTTTATCATTACGCGTTTTCTTTTTAAGACACATACTTGTTAGATGTTTCCAAAGCACACAATTTTTGGGAGCTACCCATATAAAAAGCGCTATAAACAAAAATATCATAGGACTACTTACTAAGTGTGCACCGTTCGAGACGCCATTACTAAAGCTTATTGTCGTCGTGGAGCTCCACATTGGACGGCGGACGCGTACAAAGCGTAGCCACATGGCTTCTTGCCGTCAGTCGGTCACGTGACATCTATGACGTATCTCCTGAGAATTTTTCGAACTCCGAATTCAAACTGTGCATTTATTACGTTTCCGGTAATACCGTAACATTCAATAACAAAACCCGTCGACTTAAGAAGATTATTAAAATTTAAGCCATTAATTGTCAACAGTAAAAATAATAATTAAAAATAAGACGTGATTTTATTTGCCATGCACCATTGCTATTTCACTAGGATTGTAATCCATTCGCATATAAGTAAAAACATTAAAAAAACACTATGAGTTAGGAGTGAATGTCTGTTCGAGATAAGCCACTCCAAAATTTTCTTTGATCTTTTGGTTCCGCCAAACACTTAAAAATTAAATGATATTTTTAAAATTAAAGGCTTCTTTGAACTGTTTACTAGGAAAAATTGTATAATCTGTACATTATATACATGTATGTTATGACTAAAGCCCATAAATTGGATAAAGCTAGGATTAACCGGCTGATGCTAACTTTATCTGAGCTTTTGGTTAAAGCAAATAACAATCTATTCCTTTTGGACTTTATTTGTGCTGTGAGTGTACAAAGCTGATGTTGCCCAAAGACAGATAAATGTAGCAAGGATGAAACTTAAAATTCAGGCTTTATCCAGTTAATAAATATGATTGAAGTTGGACACAAAAATAGGTGTCTTAAAACTTCTTTGCACACACACAGTTTTTTTTCTCCTTGTATCATTCAAGTATTATGTCAGCAGTTAATGGGACAGAGGAATTTATTTGTACCCTTCCTCATACAAGTCTTTGATGACATCAGATTGCACCATTGTTTATTTTTCTTCCTTAGTCATCATAAAATTGTCTGAATTCCTGTGTATGGTAGGACCCCACCATGTGCTGCCTTGCCATATGCGATTTCAGGTTTACACCATTGGCAATCCAAAAAAAAAAAAAAAGGAAAATACAAAAATGAAAAATTCTTTATTGGTGTTAAATCAGTGCCATTTTTCAAGGTCTTAAAGCCATACTCATTCTCATTCTGGAAAAGCTTTATTGTGACTTGTTTTGTAACATATCAAATGAAACAAAGGAAAGCACTGATATTGTATACTATGTAATATCAGTACTTTGTTTTGTTTATGGTAATTATTTTATAAGTATGACACCAAAATGCAAAGCTAATGATGCTGGTAACTCTAAGCCAAAGTAAAGCTGTAAAGTGTGTATTTTAGTGGAAAAAAAATTAAAATTTTAGATTTAATGAGAGGTTGCAAGAATGTTAGGAGAAAGAATCTTTCATTAATTACTGCAAAAAACTGGATACTACTGTAATTAACTCAAAAAAGACTTAAATCCAGTAACAAAAAACAAAATGTAATAAGTGAATACTTTCTATCTTATTTAAAGATCATTATCAGGTTTTTATAATAGAACAGAAAACACCTTTAAAATACAAACAATTCAAATCATATTAAAAAATCCAACTTGGCATTGGTACAGCATAAACAAATGAATTGCTGAAGCAAATTAAATTTGAAGTATGAGGCACTGCTGTATATTAAACTATAATTATCTGAAGAATAATGTTATTTTTAATGAAAAATATCTTCAATTCTTAATTGCTCTGTTTGAATGACACTTCAACAAATAATAAAAGCAGAAAAATAACTATTGAGGTTAATAAATTAACTATATTATACTATATTAAATAATTGTTTATAGTAATCGATTGTAATAATCATTGGACAGATGACCATGTTATAAGATATCACACTACTACAATAAAAGATTCTGGTTCAAAACTAATCCAAACCCATCATGGATAATATAGATTGCAATGTAATTCCCATTCCTTGCTGAAGTTAGTTATCCATTGCAATTCAGACCTGTTTGTCATGAAGTTATGGCTGGCCATATAACCTTAATATACTTACTGCCTCATATCAAATCATAATAATTATTTAGTGCTTTAATTACAAAAATATCCAGTTAATCAGTCATTAATATTTCCACTTAAATAATTCAATTTTTTCAGGGTAAACTTCGTCGTACTGTAAGAGCAGAAGAGAGTACATGGGTACTTGGTATGTAAATAATTAAAATTTAGTTAAATTTCAAATAAATTTTCACTTAAGACTAATTGTAACCTCTTGTTAATCATGCAATCTCCATCAAATGACAATAAAAATTTAATTCTTTTCTATGGGGAAAATCCTTTTCCAAAAATTCTCAAAAAATGGAAGCAGATAGAACCAGCTTTGTGTTATAATTTGATTTAATTCTGTAAACTTGAATTCAATTTTCAAAATTCTGAAGATACATTAATATAAAAATTAAATAAGATTCTAATGCAAAAATCTACTTCTGTTTTTGAAAACTTTTGGAAAAGGATTTTCCTATAGAAAAAGCAATAAATTTTTGCTGGTGATTTCATGCATAATCAATAATGTTATAATCAGCCTTAATACTTAATCATTCTTTTACAGAAGAAAGAAAGCGTATCTCAATATTATTAGTAAAATCAGATCCTCCAAACACTGAACATATATGGCAATCTTTGCTTGTTGGTCAATATGCTCCTAATTCATCGGAATTTGTTGAAATGCAAAAACAGTTGGACCTTGAAAGGTTTCAAATAGAAGTAAGTATTTTAGTACAAGATTAATAAAATTTAAACTTCTTGCAGTGAAAATTTTTTAAATCTTGCTTTACTGTATAATTTTTTAACTTTTGATATTAATTAATGTAATAATTTAATGGATCCATCATAATCTACATTAAAAATATACTGTTTTTATAATACCATATTTACTCGCATTACAAGACAATTTTGCATATAGGATGAGGTGTGACTTTAAAGATCAAAATAAAGAAAATTAGAATTATTAATGCAATTCTAATTTTATTTTGTTTAATCACAAATTAAATATCAAATACACATATACGTACATGCACACATTGTCCCGCAAAAATTACTGGCATTTTAAATTTTACAGAAAAATCTTGTAAAATCGACAACATAATTTGTTCATGTAAAGCTGGACAATCTGAAACCTTTTTTGACAATTGTTAACAGTCAAATCCACTCTCCATCGATTATACTTATGAGCTTCTCCAAATTCTGATTTCCAAATAATCATCTGTTTTCACATAAGAATGGATTAAAACTTATATCGGGCTCCCCATGTGATTTTGGAATTTCAATTTGGAATTAATTCAAAAGCTTTGCTTTTCCTATTGCTATTCACCTTTACTCCTGATAATACACAAGAAGGATTCAAATGACCCTGATAAAATACTTTTGTTTTTAAACACAAGAGGGTGAGCATCCAGTAAAAAATGTTTTTTAAGCTGTCTTATTAAGCTTAATGAATAAAATCTTGTCTTATATGCAAGTAAATATGGTAATTTAGAAGTTTAAAACAAGGATTTTGAAAGTATTAAACATTTTTTTTATCCTTTGAATGCCTTTATGACAAATAATTCACATTATTTGCAAAGGAATAAAACAGCACTATTTCATATTTTAACAATATTTGTATTCAAATATGTTTTAATATAGAGTCACACACATAATCTGTTTACATCTAAAACACTAAGTAATAGTAATTATTACAATGCATAAAAAATAAACTGGCAATTCAATAATAGATTACTACCATGGGTCACTGATTTAGTTGGCTTTTGCAATCAAATAGGGTAAGGGTTCCAACTCGTGTTCCACAATAAAACCCATTGAGTCCTAGTGATGTATGAATGTCCCAGTGCAGATTTGGGATGTGTAGTGTAATTGCTCTAGTCTCAGATCAAGTCCTCTTATGATGTCCTATACACATGCTAGAGTTATTTGTAATTACTTTCTCATCATCAGTAGTGTTGTAGAGAGACTATACAGCATACAAGTGGTCATATCAAAGATTATTAGTTTTGCACTGCAATCGTTTTGTGCTATTGTAAGTATTTTTCATATAAAAATGTAGTGAGAATCGTAGAAATTTGTAGTGATTTTAGTATTGTGTATACTCCAAATTAAAAAATCATGGAGCATTGGCCAAGAGGAGTTTTGAAGAAAAATGTAGCAAGTACTTCAAATGTTTCTAGTGACAGAGATTGAAAAGGTGGATACCAACAAAGGTACAAATCCATACACTAGCACTATTTAAAATATTGAAAGAAAAGAAGTTTAACCCTTCACATTAATGACTAGTTTGAATTAAGTAATAATATTTGCTTTCCATTATTAATTTTTTTTTTCATTTTCAATGATTTGTTTTTGTGTTTCTATTTGATGTTTTATCTATAATCATTAAAAATTGTCAGAGTTCCACGATAAAAAATAAGTTGGAAACTGCTGAAATAAGGCAAACAAAACAAGATCATCTGCATTTAAAGAAGTGATTAATTTTTACTTTTTATGACAAAGTGAGATGTAATCTTTGTACTTTATAAAATTTATTTATCATACCTTTTTTATTTTAAAATCTTTTTTTTAGTAGTTTGTAGTGGTATAGTGGATACAATTTTATTTTTTTTTTTAAATAGTGGATTGCAATTAAATTGAAAAGGAAAAACTCAAAATAATAACAAACTCAGTTCTTAAACAGTAATTTTTATAATACAGATGTACCTCGTACTTCAAATGATCCAGAGTTTGAATGCTAAATTCAATCTAGAGTTCAAATGATGCTTTACATTTGAACTATGTGCACAGTGAAAAAATAAGCTTTCTAAATAAATGTCATCTGTGGTGTGCCTAAGTACTCTCGCTGTGAAAGCATCTCTTGTTTTATGTTTGTGTTTTCGGTGCTTCTTTTCACTTTATTTTTGGTGTGTTTTGTTATATATATAGCCATGGCATCCAAGAAGTGTGTGGAAGCAATGAAGCCTAAGAGGATGGTTGTAGCATTGATGATTAAAATTAAAAAGGAACTTGTCATGAAGCAAAGTGGTACTTCTGTGGTGGATCTGGTGGCCATGTTTAACCCTGGGGTAGTGCAGTGGGGTGTTTCACCCCCAACGTTTTAGAAGTTGCACTATTCATAGATTTCGCAAGAAATATTTGTGTCCTCTTCAGTAGCTTCATCATTTTATGTATAGAGCATGCTCAGAAATTACTACGATGCTGCAGAAATTCCAATAAAAGAAAAACAACAGTTCTCAGTGGGGTGTCCAAACACCCCACAGTATTAATTACGTTTTTTTTTAAATTTTACAAATATTTATTTAGTTTTTTTTATTTTTCAAATAACTATAATGTGACCACATTTATTATTTATAATATAGATATAATAATCAATGTGAATAAAAATAATTTAAGTTTATTTTAATTCAAAATGGCTGACTTTCATAAACACATTGAGAAAATACCAAACATAGCAAGTTGCTTGTCATTTGCACTGAGTGCCAAAGTACAATGTCAGCTATTGAATCAGAGTGACAAAAATGCTTAAAAAACAATTTAGATTTTTACTATTGGTTTAATAATAAGATCTAATGTAATGAGTTTTGATAAATGTTGTTTTTTATTTTCGTGGATTTATGTACTAATATAATATGTAATCATACCTGAATATAATCATATGTATAATGACACATGCCTTTACCAAATAAATGAGTAAATCTTTATGAATTTTTACTTACATGGTTTATGGACCCAAAAAAATGTTGGGGTGGACAAACGCCCCACTGCACTAATGCCGAAAAAAAACTCAGTGCACTAACGCAGGGTTAAGATACTGAAGTCAAAGACATGCAATCAATAAATTTTGTTATATAGTACTTTATTGTTCTCATGTTATTATTTAAGGCATTTAATTATTTTTACCTTAAATTATGTGTATTTACTGTTTAAGTTTATTAAATTGGGTATTTTTTAGGGTCTGGAAATGGATTTTCACTTTCCATTATAGTATTTCTAATGGGAAAATTGATTCAGACTTTGAACAATTCAGATGTTCAAAGTCCAAATCAATCTGAGTTCAGTTCAACTGGCTTCCTGAAACAAATTAAATTTGAAGTATGAGGCACCACTGTACTAGATTTAATCATTGTTAGTAAATATAATTTTATCCATAGTTTTATACTTTCTTTTTAATTTACAGAATCCAGGGTTTGACTTCAGTTCAGCTAATTTATCAAAATGTTATGATAAATCTCCAGAACAACCCACTGATGAAGAATCAAAAACTTAGATTAAGAAAACTAAATGAATAACAACAGTAAGCCTGCTCTGTTATTGAAATTCTTAGTTGATAGCAATTTTTAATGTTTGTGTATTATTTTGTAGTAAAATAAACCATCTACAATAAATAATAAGACTTTGTTTACCCATTACAATAAAAAAAATAAATAAATACTGAAGAATGTGTTCAAGATCCCACAGGGAGAACTTTTTCTTTCTGAATCTTGTTTTCTTTGGATGGATGTGTGATTTGCATGATTTGCAGTTTGGCTATTAATTGTTAATAGAATCGACCACTAAGTTTTTTACATGAATTCTAATCTGCAGTTATTAAGTAATCATTTCAAGCATTTTTTGTAAATAAGTATGTAAGTTAATGTTACAAAATAGTAACTTTTTTGCATTTTTTTTGTAGATCTTGCCCATTGGAAAATTCTGCTGTCACTCAAGAACTGAATTTTAAAAAATCCATGAAGGTCTTTTTTTAACTTTGATATGGTATACCTAATTTTATAGAATTTGAGAAATTGTTAATGAATACAAGAAATTTTGTTATTGTTGAGTAATCCTGATATGAGGAAACAATCCTCTCTGAATAAAATTTCTAATTTCATTATATTGGCATTAAATTTCAAATATACATATTACAGCTTTAAAGAATAAATATACATAATAATTTACACTGTACATTGTCCAATAAAATGATTAATAAAGTATATATATATAATGCTTTAATAATCATTTTTATTGGACAAATACAATTTTAGTTTTATTATTATATATGTTACAGTCAAAACCCGTTTTTAGTTAGAACGTTTTTTAACTAGTTAAAACTAGTTTATATTGAATGTCTTTGTTAAAACCCGTTTTGTCTAGTTAAAACTAGTTTTAACTCAAATTCATTTTTGACTACAGTAAATTCTAGTTTTAACTAGATAAAACCGGTTTTGTCTAGTTAATTTACTGCTGTACATGTTTTGACTTTAGATAAAACTAGTTTTAACTTTTAACATTAGTTAAAACTAATTTTAGCTACATAAATATGTTTGGGGGAAATAAAGTTATGTATAGTGATTCGGCGGAAGATGCCTAACATTTTGCTTATGAAGAAAATTACAGCGCTAATTTGAGTTTAGGAGCCCTCTAATGAAAATATCATATTCTGGAGTATGTCTTTCAAATAAAAGTTTGGAGTTTATTTTAAAAAATTCTATACTGTGTTTGCAATGACGACTTTTTCACTGTCTGGCATTTTAAGCATCTCACCCCAAGTATCTGGGTGAGATGCCAAATGCCATTAGGGTAAGATAACAAATATAATTGCTTAAAATTAATTTTTGAATTTCTTAACCAAATTTAATTTATTGCATATGTAGTACAAAGTACTTCATAGTAAGTATAACAGCACAGTATAAGTATTGTTAAGTTTCCGCCCGTTCTAACGTGTTCTATAGCTAGCTGAAAGCTTTTTTCAGTCCAAAAACTTTTTTGAGAAGTCCTTATATAATTTCTATGCATATCCTGCAATAAAACGAGAAAACAAAAGTTTATTAAAAATAGGCATATTGGAAATCAATTAACAAAAAATAGGCACGTTACCCCAAGAAAAATGTGGCATATTTTCCATTTGTTGGGGTAAGATGCCTAGTAGAGTCACGTGCTCCAGCATGTCCGATCGGGATCGGCGGTAGCTGACAATGGAAACTTTAGAACCTTAACTACATCACACATTAATTGTTTTTAGCAATTTTTAATAAATTCCATTTTAACTTTTAGTTTAAAATTATTCTAGAAACATTTCACAACAAAAACTTCGTTCTTATCTAGCTTTTATTCTTCTCGGATGTAGAAAATGAAGTAACGGTAGCCAACTACAGCTTTCCGCACTCAATATTGGCCCAACGATTCATCATACAAATACATGACAATATGTGACGTCACCGTTTGAAAATATCAAAAATTAGGCATCTTCCCCCGCTTACCATCTTACCCCGAATCACTCTATGCGTTGCAGTCAAACCAGTTTTTAGTTAGGATGCGTTTTAACAAGTTAAAACTAGTTTATACTGGATGTCTTTGTTAAAACCCGTTTTGTCTAGTTAAAACTAGAATTTACTGCTAGTCAAAAATGAATTTGAGTTAAAACTAGTTGAATTTACTGCTAGTCAAAAATGAATTTGAGTTAAAACTAGTTTTAACTAGACAAAACGGGTTTTAACAAAAACATTCGGTATAAACTAGTTTCAACTAGTTAAAATGCGTTCTAACTAAAAACGGGTTTTGACTGTAACATATACAAATGTTATAATAGAAAGACACAAGAGTTTGTTGTAAATATAGAACTTGCCACCTGAATGAAAACACACATTCAAAATCATACACAAAATTTTGATCTTTGTTCTTGGATTAACTTATATGTATGTTAATTTTTATGCTAACATCTCTAATCTTGTTCAGTTCAGAAATCCATTCAAGCAGTTTAAAATGAATATTTAGTATCATTTTTAAACATTCAAAGAAAATAAGAATGTATAATTAAAATGTATTGGAGAGAGAAGTTATTACAGTCAACTCACCTTAAAATGAATATCAATAAAGTGAATTTTGCCATTGCCTTGGTAAAATACCATTGTCACAACTTTAATTTTTACATGATAAAGCAAACAAAAATTTTACCAGAATTAGTTAAACCAAACTGTAAATTACCTTCACAACTCTCCAGAAATAACCCTATTTGCAATAATGGTTGCTTTTTATACGTTTTGATGTAAACAATAAAAAGGGGTACTATAATAAATGTTCCATTTTGAGTAGAAGAGATTTTCTTCTCCTAGTAAGCAAAGACAGGTTTGACCTCTGATTGTAAAGCAATTCAAACATCTGGTTTCAGCCGACCATTCTACTATACTCAGAAAATAGGATTAAAGTTTAAGGACACTCATTCCTTTAAATGGATGCAGTCCTATGTAAACACATGCTAGTTTACATGTTTGTGTGTGTGTATAGTGATGCCAAGTTTGGCTACTTTGCACCAAAAAGTATTTTCTACTTTTTCAAACAATCTTCAACAGAAAAAAAAATCATAGATATCTTTTAGCTTTTTGTTTAACCACTCTGATATACTGCTCCACACTGAAATGGCAAATATTGTCTCCTCCTCATTTTGATTTGAAAATAATTTTAGAATGGGTTTCTGAAGACAGTCTGCCCAGAAAGGGACCACCATTTATTTATCTCTTGTTCCAGACTACACACTTTCTTGGCGACTGACCTTTCTTTTTAGGCTACTGGTCACCAGAAATTAAAAAGTCCTTTTAAAAAACACAAAAAAATATCCAATTAAAATTACAAGTTACAAGAATTTCTAAAAAGGAACTGATGACATACAGACGTCTTCCTTGCTTTCATCCATACCTTCTTGGGGTGTTACTGCTTTTATCTACTGGAGATGAACACTGGATTTAGAACATTTTGTTTTTATACATAAAAAAATTAAATTTAACTGTATTTAATATTTCAAAATATTATTATTCAGATTTCAATCACTTATTAAACCTTAACTCCCTAAATTATATGACCTTGACTATGAAAACTATTAGTTTGCTTTATAAAAAATTTGTAGTTTTTTTCCTTTCAGTGGCTTTAGGCTCTTTACTGCTCAGAGAGCACAAAAAGACCAGAATTATTAACTACTGTTCCTCTAGCAATTTAGCATTAATGGGAGTTGACTGTGTCAGTATACTAAAGGGTTAGCTTAAGAATTATTTGCTTTTCAAAAGATTTTAAATGGCTTTAATATATTAAGTGCCACATGTTGCATATTTGCAACATGTGGCACTTAATGTGTTAAACATTTGATTTGGATATTCGTTACAACCTGATACAGACCCCAAGAAGAGGCCAAAAACATGCATTCTAATAAAGATATGATGCAGAAAAGCATGGAAAGTGTCTTTTATAATTGAATGGTTTTTAACAGTGTTTCATAGTTACAAAGGTTAATTATTAAAACGACAAAAATTAATAACAAATAATGCCATAAGCTTCAAATTTATATTATTATATTAGAATTACAATGCATTTGCATTTAAGTTATAAGCATGCCCAAAACACGTTACGACACAAGTCACTCAATAAATAATACAACACATTTTTACTCAAAGCAGGTTAGTTTTATTCTAGTTTTAAATATATCAATTCGTTCCCCAATTCCTCTGCATAAAAAGTAATTTAGGGACACCAAAAAATACACACAACAGATAAAGTTGTCCAGATCCACCAGTACAATGTAGCCCGTCAACACAAACACACCGTTCTCCATTTCTGTAAGTTCGGAAACGGTCGTCTTACGTCTCACACGGTAACCATACCACGTAATAACACCCCGATTTCTGACACTTAACGGAAATAGTTCCATTTTAGACATTTAGTAATATAAATTTACTGTCTTTATTCAAAAGCAATATATCGTGCATTTTGTTATACAACCAAAACATTTTTATTACATTATACAACATAGACGACTTCTTCAGACAAAATTTCTTTCCACAACACTAGTTTCTGCATTGCTAACTTTAGTTCATAACTTCCAATTTGCAGTTTACTACTTGCAATACATAAATATAAAACATTTCATTTTATCAATCACTATCTTTGGTCACAGAACATGCTAAAAACAAGATGTTTGAGTGAAAACTAATTCAAATATATAAATATTCTTTTAATTGAACACAAACTAATAAAACATCAAAAATGAACCTTCTAATACAATTTAATAACCAAAACAAAGAATTGACAGAAGATTCATTTCAACTATAAAATATGACCCATTTAAAATCTAATTACTGGATAACTTTTGTGTGTATCCTTTAAAAAATGATAAGCATTACAAAGTAAAGAAACTATTAAAAGAACNCTATTGTATCGTTAAAAATTATTTCTTTATTTTTTACAAACAAAATAAATATATTGAAAAATATAAAAACAAAAAAAATCATACTTTAGAAGTTAATCTAGTATCAAAAACGTTCGATTCAGCACGACACACAGTCCTCAGAAAAACACCACACAAAAGTGCCAGTGCTGCCAGCTAAAACACACACATCAACAAAAAAATATTGGATTAGCCCAAGATATAGCCAAAGATTGCAGCGCCACAGCACTAGCGAAAATTTAAACTTGCCAACTGGAATGCTTTCTGATAAATGACGCTCTACTGTATTACTTGATTTTTATCAGAGTTAAAGTTTCTGCACTAGACAAAATATCATGTAAAATAAAAAAACAAGCAAGTAATTTTAAAAGAAAAATTAATTCATCTCTCTGGAATTCAAAGATAACATATACTTTTTGATTTATAAAATTATAAAATCAAAATGGCAATTTTGCATTGACAATTCTAGTATATAAAATAATGCAATTTTAAAGTTTCCTTTAAGCTGTAGTAAATATTGACATAGACATATTTTATCATCAAACCACAGCTGTATTGGTAAAAACCAGTCTGTATACTCTGGTCGACATTGACCCTAATGTTTTATCTCGTCCTGATTTGCCATCTCTCCTGCCAGCAAAATTGAAAAATCTAATAGCAAGGTACTGTCGGCGTAAAATACACGTTTCAATTTATTATTATCTGTAGGAATTTACAAATTACAATACTTCAAAAATACTGAAATTAAAGTTCAAATTTGACTACTTAATTAAATACGTCCCAAAGAACTTTTTTCTCGTCATGGGTAGCTGAAGCAACATGGCTCTTCTTAACTCTACTGTCTATAGCAGAACAGTGGCTAGACAATTTAATGAATTTATCAGGTTTGAACAGATGTAAAGGCAGACTGTTTGCATTTATAAACATTAAACTTGACACATTTAATGAGCAGAAGAGATGACTTTAAATCTGTGATTACATTGCTCATTAAGCTGAATTCTCTTTCACATTCTGCCGTAGAACAAGGCAAAGTAGCCACAGCGTGTAAATTTTCTGGTATGAATTTTGCAGCAAGGTCAGCAGTTAAAGCTGTGCAAGGACTGCGAGAATTAAGTTCATCTAGATGGAAGTGCTGACAAATCCTTACCTCAATTTCTCCATAGCAGGTGTTTGTTTGCAATTTCTATTATTAAAATATCCTCAAGCATTTGAGCATTGCTATCTGATTCAGTGCAGAGTCTTGCTTTCATTCTGTCTGCCACACCTTGGATGAATTGGTTTGCATTAATCCTGACAATTTTAACTGACAATTTGGAATAAGCATTATGGTTTGAAAATTGCCCTTCAGTTTGCAGTCTAAAGCTGTCTGCATTTTTTCACCAGGCTTCCCTTTAAAACTTTCGATAACTCTTATTGTTCTTAACTTAATTAATAAGATAAGATGCTCTGCCTTAGGAAAAGTCATTTTTTGAGATTGAAGTTGTTTCGATAGAGCAGACAATTCCTCCAATATGTCCCATTAATCCCAAATCTACAAGCAATTCAGGGCTTTCAAGTTTTTTCTTCAGTCTGCTGAATATAGCTTTTTTTACTTTGTCAGTATTGTCACAATTTGTTTCTGATGAATCTTTTAAATGTTTATGGATTGCTTGATAAGATGTCCATACGGCCATTATGGTGTGAAAACTGCTTACAACACATCTCACTTCAAGAACATGTCCTATTTTTTGAAACTGGTAACAAGGTCTTTGCAAGCAGACTCCAAAGTACGAGAATTTTTGGCAGACCGACTGTATAATTTGTCCATAAAACATTTGAAATTATTAACCTCTCTGCTACAGAGGTATCCAAACTAAATCTGTGCTTTAATTACCATAATTAAATTTTTTTATTAAAAAAGTTATTTAAAAAAATATATATATAAAAAGTTAAAAATAATTTTAAAAAATGTTTTTTTTTATTTAATAGAAAAACACTCCCTGCAGCTATACAGTTGACCCCTCCCATAACATTGTTGATAATTCTGTTTTATATGAATTCCATGTTGTATGAGTCACTTAGATTTTACAAATATGTGTGCCGGGCTGTGAACAGCTCACGTATTTGTAAAATCTAAGTGACTTGTACAACATGGAATTCATATAAAATGGCATTATCAACAATGTTATGGGGGGGTCGACTATTTATCATTTAACAAGGCATGAAATTTCACATGTGCAGTCTACATTGTTTACAATCTGGTTGACCTTGAGAACAGCTGGTGACAGCTTTCCTGGGTTGTTTACATGTGTGCCACATATATTTAAATATAACACAAATTTTCCGATTTTTATGCTATTAAAATACGGGGTACCGAAAAAAGTTATATATAAAAAATTCTACTGAATAAAAAACAAAAAACCTGCTGATGTCATACAAACGCTATTGGATGTTTTCTATAGCGTATGCAATAGTATTTGTACATTTATTCATACTATATAATAAAAATACCCTTAAAACCTTTAAAAATCAATATAAATGTGTTGGCTAAAATTATAATATGCTTATACAGTAGTTTTCTGTTTTATGCAATGTTACAATAAATTTAAAAATGAAAATAATTTATATGGACAAGTCATTACAATTTCTAAAATATTTTAATATTCCATGTAGATTTTTGTATTTGTATAATTACATAATTAATTAGATTGTTGTATAATTACATAAAATAAGCAATATTTAGAGGTGAACTATTACTCAAGGGTAAATCTAATATGCTTCCTTTTCCTTTTTGTCCTTTCTCATGTAATTTTAATTTTATTTTTGGAAACTTCCCAGAATGAAGATTATCCTTAGATTCCAATAAGCTTTCCTCGACAATAATATGCACACTACATCCTGGTTTAATCATTTGTTTTTCGTGTGCTTCTGCAAGCTGATTAACAACTCTTCTTTCAACCTGTAAATCGTTAAGAAAAAAATTAATTCTTTGGTGTGTAAATTGTTTTTAAGAAAACAAAGAAATACCTCATGTTTGATAGAGCGTGCTCCATAATGAATATCGTATCCATCAGCTAAAACTTCTAATACTCTCTTTTCCCAAGATAATTCAATATTATGTTTTTCTTTAGCCTATTTTTGTAATAAAATTAAAATACCATGTAAATTTTCAAAAAACTGTATTCAAGTTTAAATCATCATCATGCATTTTCTCTATTTCGTAAGTAAAATTTTAAATACGTAAAAAGTTAAAAATATCCACATAATTTTAAAATAAAGTGCTTTTGAAATTGCTGAAATTATTATGTTTATGTGAAAATGTCATGTAGAACTTTATAATAAAAATAATAATTTCATTTTTAATTTAAGAAACTCTGTTATAGAAATAATAATAATTAAACAGAAATGTATTTAAAAATGTCAAATCTAGATTGATTGTGTTGTTTAAATTAAAATAAATCTTCATAGTCACATGTACTCTGGTAGTATTTAGAAGTTTAAAATTAGAAACAATATGATATTTTTAATTCTTAAAACACTATTAAACTGAAGATATCACAGCGCAAAAAAATTTTACTATTTACCATCAGATAGGAAAATACTGATTTCATAGAGGGGGAAAAAGAAATCTGTTGTTATAACAAAATGGAAACTTTAACCAAACTTCATGTTTTCAGCTTCAATGTTTTTATTAAATTCTGTATTTTATTTATTTACTAATAAATCAAACAATCATGCTATCATTTCTTATCAAATTACAAGTTTATATACTTTATATTATAATTCATAATTAATTTTGTTTTATTACGTTATGTTATGTGAGCTATCATTATACTTTTTTCAGTATCTTAAAATGATAAGCAGATTTCAATTAAAATCTGTTTGTTATAACAAAAATTGATTAATTTGTTAATAATTTATTCTTTAATATTTTTTGAATTGAAGCACTGTGTTGCTTGGCCTAATATGTCATATAAAATTAAGTGATTAGAATTATTTTATATGTGTATTTTACATTAGTCAGAGCAGGATGTTTAATTTTTTAAATGTGGTTCTTTAAAAAGAGCAATATGTTATCACAATATTATACATGGCAGAAATTTTAATTAATGCAGCTTTAACAGCTGTCTTTACTTAATTTTATTTTAACATATCTATGTTATTTGTTATTAACCAAAAATTTGTTCTAGCAGGTGGTGAAGTAGCAAAGTACCACTATATTTGATTAACACAATTTTGATATATATAGTAACATCAAGAGATTAATTAACCACGTTAATAAAGGGATACCTGTATTTACAATATTACATTATTATTTTTTTAATATTAATTAAGTACAGCAGTTAAGTACAGTTGTTTTCAGCATATTCCCAAATAACATCACTTATTAAAATATGACACATGAATATCCATCATCATCTGAACACATTGTTACCAGATCAACTTACTAATTTCCTGCATATAAAAAATTCTAATTCATCTTAATTTTAATAATTAGCTTTTCCATTTACCTTTTTAGCCCAAAATTCTAGTTCTTTCGATACCAATTTCAGAAGTTCAGATCTTGAAAAAGGTAAAAAGTAAACCATTTCATTAATTCTCCCTAAAAATTCATCTCTCCTAAAATGTTTCTAGAATAAAATTTAAATAAAACTCATTAAAATAAAAATAAAATAAAATAAAAATAAATATTTGAATTATTTACCTTTAAAATTGGCTGAACAACTTTCTCTTTGAACTGTTTGGATATTGTAATTCTTTCTGTCATTTCAATATCGTCTAGAAAATATTAAAAAATAAAAATGAACAATAGCTTATATAAAGACTAAATAAAGAAGTTCAGGGCTAGGAGTGCTTTTTTTCTCCCTAAAAAAATAGCATAATAATAACTGAAAGTAACAAAAAAATAAAAAAAGGAGGTCATTCAAAATACAAATTTTATATTACCACCATTTTTCTTTGTAGTTGTAAGTGAATAAATAAATAGCTTATCTTTTAGAGAAAGAAAATGTGTTTTTATAACTGGAAAAAAACTACAAAAAATATTTTCTTCTTGTTAATGACACAAAACAACTTGTTTTTGTACAATTTGTTCTCATTAACAAGTGTTTTTATAAGATTTTTTTACTTTGATCAACTAAAAGAACCCAAAAATTGGAAAATTAAAGTTTTTTAATGAAATTTTTAGAATTATAGTAGAAGATGGTATAAAACAATCTGCTGAGAAATCAAATGTCTAGTAATCTGAATATTGAAAATAAATAGGAATTTGCTTTTAGTAGTAGTAATTCAAATACAGATTGGAAATATGACAATAGAATTCTATAAAAGTTCAAAAATCTCAAATGAATGACAAAAATATATATCAGAACTAATGTTATATTTATATTAGTAAAATTGAATTTTATAAAGTAAATGAAAACTTTAAAATAAAAAATCTACAGATAAAGTAAACTTTGAGATTATGCTGTATATATCCAATCCAAAACATAATTGCTAATTGTAATCTTTAAAAGACAATTTTCCAATTCTCACAATAAGAAATATTAAATATAAATTCCCAGTTTTTTGATAAACAGTTACATACTCATATTAATTCTAGAAATAATGTTTTTAAACAATGAACTTCATAAGTCTCACAATTATCATCATTTAGATATATAGTACAACCTCATTTTGCACTTAGAATGCATTCTTAGACAACAAACAGCATTATATGAGGTCCTTTTAACACATTGCAAATAGGGAAAGGGAAACATGCAACCAAAAATAAACAAATTTTACTTTAATTTTAAGTTATTTTTATATTAATTTGCATAATAATATATGTTACATAACACAAACATATGCACACAGAAATAAAGTTCATTTTTTTGATAAAGGTCCTGACTCTTCTGAAATTCTTGATTTTTTGCAATGAAGTCGTCTAGTGTCATTTGTTTCTTTCTTTTTCTCTTGTCAAGGGAATTTCGGTAGCATGAGATTGCATCCAAAACACCTCATCTTGCTTTTGCACTCCTTTCAAAATCTAGATAATTCGCACATAAATTAACATTATATGCAACGCAAATCGTATTGGTAATGTGGACACTGTTTCACTGCTAATGAACACAATGTACAAAAACATAGATTTTCGGGGAAGTACAGCACTATGACAAATTGCCACCTTTTGTTGATTAATTCGTGTTTGGGAATATACGAATCATGAAATGCCACAATAATTTTAATCAGCATAAATTTTGGGTTTTTTTAGGCTTTGAGCAGACTGCTTTATATTGAATTAACATTAATTGAGGAAGCTAAATAAGGTCTTACTGTGTTTAAATAAGCAGCTGAATTTTTACATGCATCTTCTGGATAAATTATTCAAACACACATTCATTATTAGTGTTACAAATTTAAAAAAAATTATAATGTTATGATATCAATAAACAATTACTGGAGTTTTGTTGACATCTTTCATTTTCCAATTTAAATCACTCTTTGCTATTTAATCTACTTTTTGTACAATTTTTTTTCTTCAAACTTTGATTTTTATGATATCATTTTAATGTATGGGAAAGGCTGAAAGTTAATCAGCACTATATTTGATGCAGAAACCTAGTTAAGGAAACTAAAATGTGCTAAATTTTTGTCTGTGTAACAATTCATAAGAAGCAAGAAAACTTGTGATGAAGAACATATTAGACACAACTGAAAAAAATTTAGTTATCTGAGATTTGTAATTTTGTTATATGATATTAATTTAGATTAGTACTTTTAAGATGTATCTCTAATCAAAACTACTTTTGCAACACAGAATATGGTAATCATCTTGCAAGATTACTATCAGATAATTTGTAAAATTATCATAATCCACAAAATTTTAAAAAATGTTTTAGTGGAGTACAAAGTATTTACCTGTTTATATAATTTGTTTTTGTCTTTAAATTTTATTAAACAAACCAAAACTCTTAAAAGAACTCTACTGGAAACATCTGTCATAAGAAGGAACAATTCTGTGCAAAACAACTTGTCGACATTTTGATGATATGTGCTGATTACACATATCATTAGCAAGAATCAAGAAGAGAGTTGCCAGAGGATGAGAAAAAACATCTTCCCAAATATTGGGTCTGCTGTCACTGCTAACCATAAAACTAGGTTCTTAGTTGCCATTTGCATAATTATCTTTTTGCCATTGGACAGAAAGACTCAGACAACTCTCCTTCAGACCTTTGACTATTGTCATTACACAGTTAATATTTATCAAACCAAATATTCTCTCTTTTACACAAATGGGAAATTAATGTATTTCCTCATTTGTACTAAATAAATGTATTTACAGATTCCAGTATATTCATTTGGAGCCACTCTCTATCAGGACTCATGCAAAATTCACCTTTAAAACAAGGAGTGTCACAGATAATTGATGAGGTTCATACAGGCCAACTGCTTGGACATAACCGTATTTATATATAATCAAACTGTAAAATCTCAATTTTGTTTCTGACAAATGATAAAACATTATAATTTGCATCAAATAATGGCTGAAATTTGAAAGCAATGGACTAATCATATTACATATTAATATACATTTTCCAGTATAAAAAGATTCCAGAAATGTTAACAAAAACAAACTATAGCAACCAAATCTGTAAAAAGTAGGGCTTTTTATAAGTTAATAAAAACTAACTATTTTACTAATTCCACTCCAAGCCCTGAAGTTTAGAGATTTTACCTAGTTTTCCACTATATCTCTCTCTTGTAATGCGTTCGGCCTCCTCACGAAGTTGAATGGCATAATTAGCTATTTCATTACTTGCTAAATTAGATGTCATAATAAACAATGCATTTTTACATTCTATTGTATTTCCTTTCCCATCTGTTAAACGTCCCTATTTAACATATTATCAACACATTAATTCATCAAATATAACACTAATAAATTAATAAATAGAAATAAATTTTAAATACTCACTTCGTCAAATAATTGTAACAATACTGTAAGAACATCTGGATGTGCCTTATCTACTTCATCAAAAAGAACAACAGCATCAGGACATTTCTTCAATTTTTTAGTTAATTGCCCACCTTCATCATGGCCAATATAACCCGGAGGAGATCCAATTAATTTTGCAACCTGTAAAGTTTTTAAAATAATATGAAATAAGAATGAAGTATAAAATTTCTGTAAACATTACTATGGGTTCTGGTATTTTAGTACTCTCATTATTAAATAAGTTTATAAAGCTTATCATAGTACTGTATTTGCAAACATTAAAATGCTTAGAAGTAAACATTTGTTCCTAAAAGGTCAATGAACAGTACTTTGAAAAGAGATGTAAAATTATTACAAAGTGATGAGTTAAGATAAAGATTACATGTAAAGTTTTAAAATTATAAATAAAACTATCAGATGTAATAGAATAGATTTTTCCTATCTAACTGAAGTGAAAAAAAATAATAATAATGATACAGATGAAATATAAGCAAGCAATTATGTTCATTCTTAAAACTTCCGACAGTTAAATTTTATAAAACATGACAACTACCTTATTTACAGTACTGTTTGATTCAAAAATGATTTTTACGCTTTTTTCTTATGATATACAATCAAATTAATCTTCTAGTACAGTCAAATGTTGGTTTTTGAACATACTTCATTCCTAAAAGTTGTTCTAAAACTGAAACAAATTTTCCCATAAACAATATAAAATAGATTAATCCATTCCTGATCCCCAAAATAAGCCTTTTCTTTTTACCTTTTTAGCAGTATTTCATGCATCAAAATGCCTACAAATGCAATGTAATATTATATGTAATATATTTATGTATAAAAAGCAAAATCTTTCATCACTGCCAACAGAAACAGAAACTAACACTTAAAAGACGTGCTATAAATAGAGACTCAACTCTGACTGCCAGCATGAAATAAACTTATAACCAAACCAATCAAGACAGACAAGTGCTTTATCCACACTTTCCAAAATATTATGTTTCAATTGATTTGACTTCAATTTAAATCAATCAATTTTGATTTTATGTATAATTTTTAGTTTCACTGTAAAGGCTAGAGTTTTAATTATTATTTTTAAATTTAACTAAATGGCTACCCAGGGTTAATAAATATTAAAATTAAAATATGTAATATTACACTAATGAACTTTTGTTATTAAATTTAACTTAAACATATTTAAACACAATTCTTAGATGCTATTTATATTATGTGAATATCAATTAATGCAGTTTTTATTAATTAATTTGATTTAAATTCAACTGTGGCGTGTATAGTACCAAACAATGGAAATAACTTATTTCCCACATGCACACTGAAATGTTATTTAAATAGCAATGTCATCAATGATTCATGTATTGATGTCTAATAATGAGAGGCGATCTTGGAGCCACTAACTTCTGAATCAGTAGTCCTGTTGTTAATTGGTCAGGCCATCAACTTTATTTAACATAGGAAGTATAGGGAGTTGACTGTCTGTCTCTCTCTAATCTGTGGCCAGCTCTTACTGAGCAGCTTGTTCAGAATTTTAATTATTATACAGAAACTAGGGAAAATATGGGTTTTCAAACAAAGTTTTGAACTAAGGTTTGATTGTTTAAGCATTAAACTGTAAACAGATTAAAAGTCCTTTTAGAATGGATTTTTATAAATATTAAAAGTTTTAAAAGAAAACTTTTTACAAGAATCTGGATCAAAAAGAACTTTTAATCAATTTATATAATTGTAGGCAGAGAAAAAGCTCAAAGAAATAATAGGTTCTGCTAGTGTTAATTGTGTTCCTGAAGTTGGAAAGGATGTAAGAAGACTGCAAATTTAATTTGTATTTAATCTTTAATATGTGTTATTTTTTAATGTAAAAGTTTTTAAAATCCAAAAATTAAATATATCAACATTTTTCAGCTACATATAAATGTGTGTTATATTTATGTAGCCATAGAAAATTATAATTTGTGGAAGTTTTTACTTGATCCCAAGAAGCAAGTGCACCATTTCCCCCTCTGCAGATGCCTACATAAATATATATAAATACTGAATGATCAAATTCAATCTGACCACACATCAGAATTTACCTATATTGTTAATAAACATAAATCAGCTATTGATTTACCCTTACACTAACTATTTGTCCAATCTGTTGCTAGATTTATATCTTTATTCTACTAGCTATATAGTTTATCAAATTCTTCAATAAAAATGGGTCCTTTTCAAAATTAATAAACTTTAAAAACAGCATAAATTATAATCCTTTCAAAACTAAAGAAAACTAAATTCTAAAAATCGTTTTAATATACAATTTACTTTTAATGTTTCAATGTTAAATCAAACTGTATTATCTATAACAATTTTCAGCCTTAGTATGTTTAGTCTAACTAAAAAAAGTGTAAATATACAGGAAAAAAACACAAATAAAAGAAAAAAAATCTAATAATTTACTTTTCTTTTACTGGATATGATTACATAATTTGTCATTAAATAACGACTATTGGCTAAATTGATGATTCAATCTAGATACATTTCATTTCTTATTAAAATATTTAACTTGAATTTCATCCAGATTCCAAAACTATTTACAATAAATTTTCATATGATATGATTTTGAAATTATACATATAATACAAATTGAATTCTCAATTTATTAAATGCAATTTACAGAATCAGCTTTATAAACTCTGTAATTAAGAATGTTACATTTTAACTAAAATATTTACCTCATGTTTTTCTTGATATTCAGACATATCAAGTCTTATAAAATTCTGAAATATTTTTAAATTTTGCAATAAAAATTAATTTTAATTTAAAATGCTTTTATTTAAATTTATTTCATGATCAAATTAAACTTTAATTACCTCTTGTTTTCCTTTATGACTATATTTAGCTATTTGTTTTGCTAGTTCTGTTTTCCCTTTTAAAATCAAAAATGTTATCATTTTTATAAAGAATATATACAAATCTAATTTTATTTTACAAAATGTATATTTACCTATTCCAGATGATCCTAAGAATAGAAACACTAATGGATGTTCCTCGTCATACCATCCATTTTCTTTTCTTCGAATTGCTATATTTTTATTTAAAAATTAAGCTTTACTTATAATTATTGTATAAATACACTGAATACTTTATAATTTCAGCAAACAAAAATTCATAAACATATTAATTTAATTACATGAGATAACTAATTTAAATAAATTTTAAACAAAAAAATGTTAATAAAGTTACAAGTTTTTTTGTACCTATAAAGTAATAATTAATATTTTTATAATCAAGTAACTTATTCGTTGCTGAGAGGGTTTATTAAAAACAAACGTTTTCGATCTATTCAATAGATAATCTTCAGGTTAGAACATACGAATATGGAATACCTCTTAAAATGGAACATCACATTCAAAATTCAAAAATATCAAAAATACTAATAATGGATCAACTACTTAGAATAAGAATTAAATTGTAAATAATATATAAATGTAAAAATAAATAACATAACACAATATTTAAACAATAATACAACATAAAAATAAAAGTTGCTAAGTTTCGGTTAATGTGGATCATATTACAGTTTATAAGCTGCTTGTAAGCTTTTTAATGGCAAACTTCCAAGCCGAGGATAGACCCTCTGCATCTCTGGCATTTATACATCCTTCATCAAGTTTGTTCCTGTATATTTTCATTTTCTCAGCAGTTTTCACTAAAGTTGGAGAGTGCACTTGTCTGATGATTTCCGCTTCCTCCCATCCAACTACGGATCCTTGGGCTTGAGCCATCTGTGCCAATATCGTAGTGTTAGATCCTTTCCTAACATCATATTTATGCTCTCTGATCCTTACCCTGAGACTTCTCATTGTAACTCCTATGTAATCCTTTTTTTAACCCTAACTGCTGGTTCTCATACGGGATCCTATAAACTCCTGCTTTATCATCTTTATTAACATCTCCTTTATCGTTTCTTAGGATTTTGCATAGACTCGGAACTCTTTTCAAGATCAACATTGAATTTTTAATGCCCACAATCTCCTTCATGACGCCTCCTATACTTTTGTTGAATGTAAACTTTGTGTATTTAAACTTTGGACATCGTTTAGAAGTTCTTGTATCGCTCGCCTCAAATTTTCTAATACCAGCAATTATAATTCTCTTGTAAATTAATGCTTCTGCTATCCGCATAATCCTGTCGATTTCTTTAACTCGGTCTATAATGTTGTTGTAATACAGAAAAGCCCTTTTAACTAAGGCACAAAAGGCTGCTAATTTATAATGAAATGGGTCATTGGACCGTGCAGGTACATAGAGTGGGCTATGCATTGGATTAGTAAACACACTAGTGGATACACGCCCTTTTCTAAAGGTGATATTAATATCTAGGAAATGTATCATTAGGGAACTTTTCTGCTCTAGCTTTAGGTTGAGGCCATCTTCATTATTGTTAACTCTTTCTATGAAATTACCAATTTCTCGATTACTTTTCCATAATATAAAGATAGTGCCTTAGTTAAAAGGGCTTTTCTGTATTGTGACAACGTTATAGACAAAGTTAAAGAAATCGACAGGATTATGCGGATAGCAGAAGCATTAATTTACAAGAGAATTATAATTGCTGGTATTGTTAGAAAGTTGAGGCCATACAATAATATCAGCCTTTTCTCTTTCAATACTAAAGAATCAAGAAGCCCTAAATTCCATTCATCATATCACCAAACTCTTCAAATTCTGTCTGTAGCACCATAAATGAACATAAGTACAGGGCTTGCCATAAAAAGACTAATAATCCAGATTTGTCTAAATAAATACTGTACTTATTTAAACAAACATATATTAAAATAATAAGGGACAATTGCTAATGGTGTACAAACAAGGACTATTCAACATATCATATTTTTATGAAATTTCAAGCATTAACATCTATTTGTATTTCAAATGTTCAAGATATCCTTAATCTCAGAAAGTAATTTCCAAAACTATCTAGCAAATTTGAACAAGTTAAAAACATTTACAAATGTTACAAAGATTTATAATTTCTTTATACATATATCTAAGTTAAATATATATCAAATATTAAATTGTGTTATAAGGTTAAAATGATGATTATATGAATATAAATATACAATATAATTATTTTGTTAAACTATTAACTTTCTGTACTACTCCATAAGTATCCTTTGTAATGTTTACCCTTTATTTACTGTACATAATAAAGATTAATTGAATGATTGAATATTTGTTTCATATGTAAAAAAAAATCTATATATTATAGGAGATAAAATCTATTTTTGATTTAAATTATAAATATTCTTCATTCAAAAAATGAAAATATGCTCATAATATTTTACCTGATGCAACAGTAGTAATAGCACCTTCTTGACCAACTATAAATTGTTTAATTCTCTTTTCAAGAGGAAATTTTCTTCTTTCTTCAGCTTCCCTTTCTTTCTGTTTCTCTTCCCACTAAAAATTAAAATTTTAAAAACTTGAAAATAATGTTCTCTCAAAATAATCTTAATTTTAATGACTTCTTAGCTTTAGCTTTAATGTATCACATAATTATATCATATCTTCATTTTAAGAAATCAAACATTTTTGGGAGAGAGAAAACTTTCCTATATTTATAACATAAAATATATTCTTTGTATTTTTATTTATAACTAAATAAAAATACAAAGAATTAAATAAGAATTTATATCATAATTTTAGTTTAGGTGTTCATGATACTACCATAGATCATTTTGCAAATGGCATCACTAAATATGTTTTGTTTAGCTATTTTTATATACTACATGTATGCACATGCATTAACATACAAACATTGAGCATTAAAAAAATGAGAAATTGCAACAAATAAACTCTTAAAGAATAAACAGACAATTTAAAGATTTGATGATAGTTATTGCATCACTTGCATGGTATTCTACAATACCCAGCCAATAATTTGAAATCAATAACAAACTTTTAAAAATTTTATTAATTTACTTCTTTTATTTATCAAATATTGTATCAGATAATTTTGTCCATTCAAAAGAAAATTAAAATTAGAAGTCAACATAACCTATTAAAACATATTATTAATTTATGTTATTTTTCAAAATTTTGTATTCTTCGCTTAAATATAACATCATTAATATTTTTGTTTTCAAACATAATTTCCAATTTTTTCCCCCAACAATTAAGTTTATAAGTAAAATAAAACTTATCTAAAATGAAACCTGTATAAAACAGAACCTATTTAAACAAAAATAAATCTCAGAATAAAATTATTTTCTACGCAAAATACTATCAATATCAATAAATCAGTCTAGTGAGAAGCCAAAAGATTTTTTGATACCAATTGCATAACATATCCCAAAGTAAAGCAGAATGTTTTGGCTTAATTCTAAATCATAAAACACATTTTGGTATTTTCAACATGTCTTTGAAACCTAATAATACATTCTAAATATGAATTTCAACATGTTTTTTAACTTATCTTTTTTTTGCATTAATAAAAGCATAACTTTCTATAAAATGGAAACCTGCCAAAATGGAAATTTCTAATTAGTACTGTAATGCTCTGTTTCAGACAAGTTTTACTGTGTAATCTTTTTTTTTATAACATATTTTTACATATACTAAATATGAAGACAAATCATATGCTCCAGAGATTAATTTTGATTTATTTTTAAAATATGTGCCAATTTCTTTGGGACACGTTTTACAAGTTTTTGGCTGTATAATGTAATACAATATTGATCAAATTGCAGCTCTATTTAATAATCAACAATCAAGTAATATTCTATAAAGATGTTTCTTAGAGTAACAGTACACTTTATAATGTTACTTTCATTCCAATGCAGACTATCATTTTAAATAGGTTGTTCACATTATATCCTTAATATAAACAGAAAATATTTCTTTACTATGTTTGAATCTTGTGCCGTCCAAAGATAACCACAACCTGAATTTTTCAATATCTTCTTTAATCATAATACCCAACAAGACTTGATGTCAGAGATATCTAATTGTACTGTACATTCTATAATAGCATATCTTGACATACAGTAATATCTTGACTTACGCTACCCCAACTTACGCGAACCCGGAGTTACGCGATTTTTAAATCTTGTCGATTCGTCTTTTGTTTGAGCGCCACACAACTCTTGATTACTCACTCCCCCCACACCATTGTTCAGCTTACATGTTCGGACGTGTCACACAGAATCGACACATAGGTACAATTTATTTTGTGTTATTTATTTCTGTGTTTGTTATATCTACAGAGACTTGAGAGACAATATGTGATGATTTCTTGTAACTGTGAACGAATCAAAAGACAAGATAAGATTAACGAGAACATTTATTAGCTTACATACATCCAACTTGGATTTTACATAAATTGCAAAATTATACCCTGACTTACGCAAATTCGACTTACGCGGTCATCGCTCGGTCCCACCTATTGCATAAGTTCGGGGTATTACTGTACTATTATTCTGGCATTTTCAAAGTTTTTATACTTATATAAATTTTATAAATATATTTAAATGTTCTTAAAATATTTCTTAAGTATTAAATGTATAAAATATATTTTTTTTTACTCTTTCCGCCTTGTGGGCACTAAGAGGGCCTCTTATAGCAGGCCCATTATGGCCAGGCCCACAATGGGGCTGCCGGGTGGTGGGGGCGGGGCCCGACATATCCAAACGGACCACCCCATGAAAAATTCCTGGGGATTTTTCGACTCGTTCGGATTCGAACCCAGGTCACCCAGAGTGGTAGGCTGCCACCTTGACCACTCAGCCATCCGGCCACTATGAAATATATTTAATAGAACTACTTAGGAATTAATTTTTTAATCAACACAAGTACTAATATACAGTTTTAAATTGTTATTTGCAGATACCTGAATATCTGATGACTGTTTCCCAGGTGAAAGTTGTGTACATACAAGTGAAAAATGATACCCAATGTTTAGCACAATATTTTGATAAATTCAAAATTAAATGCTTAAAATAAAATGTTGTTCACATTCTATTTATTACATTTAAAAATCAAAGTAAATGTATATTGATAAATCAATATATTATTATTTTCTAAATAAAATTATATTTTATTTTTTACAAAGCAAATAACTCATTTAAAAAATTAAAAACATACCACTTTCTTATATTTTTCTAAAAGTTTCTTCATTTCTGAATTTCTGGAATATTGTTCAGGTTCATGATTACTATCATTTCTAATGGTAGGATCAGCACCTACAATAATTTTTAATATGTATATAAATTATCCTATTATTATTGTTATGATTATATTTTTAGATAACTTTGAATAATTTAAAATTTAGGTTTTCATACACTCATATGATTTACTATATAAGATCTTTCAGATTTCAATTTACACAAACTATATTTAAAAATTAATTCTTTCAGTTGAAAAGATCAGTTCCAGAAGAATACAAGTCCATAGACATATATTTTTAATATATACAAAACTGTTTTTTTTTTTTTTTAAATATATCTAGAAAGTATTTGACATTGGATTTTCCCTCATGGCCAAAAAGTGTTTTTTTTGCTGAGCTGTTATGGCGACATTAGACATGGAATTTTTACAGCAAAATATTAAGTGTAGAACTGAAAAGAGTTGTTTAAATGTTTCATTAACTCGAATAATAATTTTTATGTTACTAATGATTGCTGGCATTGAGCTAAATCCCGGACCTTTTCCTCGATCTCCTCCAATATCAAGTCAAGCAGTTATGCAAAAAAGGGGACGAGGGAGACCACGTAGAGAGCAAACAAGAGAAATAGAAGAAAATACACAGACAAGCGAAATGTCAGGAGAGGAATACCTAATTGAGGAACATTCCAAGAATATTACTGATATCTCGAGGTATGCTACAATAAAAGACTTTTTCGAACCGGAAAAAGAATTACGAACAAAGACTAATGAACCCGAATACTCACTCAAGTCGGTTTATGAATTAATCCAAGACAAATTTGATAGTTTGAACTTCGAAATCCGTTCCATGAAAGCTGAAATCAACAAAATGAACGAAGAAAATTTAAAGCTCAAGGAAGAGTTAAAAGATATGTGTAAAAAAATACGTTTATTAGAAGAAAGAACAGACTCGTACAGCAAGTTAAAAGGTATGGTGGATTTTGAAGTTGATAAAATGATAAACGATAGAACTAAGAAGAATTTAATTATATTTAATTTTCCATTTAAAACCTCGGAATATGTAGAAGAATTTAAAAAATTTATAAAAGTTAACTTAGAGCTTAATGGTATAGAAATCGAAGGTCTTATTCAAATATTCATGGCCAAAAAGCTCAGGGGATTTCTGTCTTAGAAAATCAACTCAATAGATCAAATATCAATGCAATTGTAACCATGCAAAGACTGTATATCCTTGTGTTGAAAACAAGAGTTTCAGTATATCTTAATACACTTTCGATTCAACATTATAAACTTTTATTCAAGGATTTGTTATCCAAAATATGTTTCTTGGTTACTGCAATTCTTCCAAAGAACTAGGAAGAAAGAAATGAAATTTACAAGTTTCAGATTAAATGTTGCTTCAAAACAAAACTGTGCTTTTTGCATCAAACTGATAACATTATGATGAGTAATATAATATCTGACTATACTTGTATAGAGAAAATAATTGCATAAAATACTTAACTATCTAATTACACTTACTAAACAAATATATAGGCCCTCTTAGAGTCCTTAGTTATTTCTTCAGTAAATGTAATTAGGTAGAAAATATTTTCAGTATGTCTTGTACCTGCTGAATTGCAACATGGAGAAAAACCAAGATTCATTAAGGGTGTATTGAAGAATTTTTAAACAGGGCAGGAAGATTTTTCCTATTTAAACATCTGGTAACATTGCCCTCTATGCAACAAAACAGTATATGTTCATAGACTTCTTATCCTGCTGCTTTCTGACAAGCATTTATATACATTGATAACATTGTAGAAAAAAAAATTGATTAATAAATTCTATGTTGTTAAACCAATGGCTATTTGGCTGTTTGAATATTACACCTGATGATAAAGGATTATAGAGTTAAAATTCATATGAATACAGCTACATCAATAAACGCAAGTTTTTTATAACCATTGTTAAAAGAGTATTAACTTAAATTTCAAAGTTTGATAATGTCAAAAAAATTGTTAAATGCACTAAACTCAATGCTATGAAAAACTTAGTTACAGCATAAATTTAATTTCATACCATAAAAATTTAAGAAATTATTAGATCCTACAATTTATCTGCAATCATTGAATGATTACATAAAGTTCTTTAAATTTCCTTTCATTTTAGATATCTTAACTTTGTGAGGTAGCAACAAAGAAATTTTTATTTATAGTTATATCTCATTACTACATTATTTATTTTTCTTTTTGTTTCAGAAAAAATAAATAATGTAAGTAACAAAATATAACCTATAAATAAAAATTTAGTTATTTTGAGTTTTGGGTGTTTAGTTATGTTAAACTTCAACAGCTTTTCAATAGTTATTAACCAATCATTCTTTGCATAATTTCATATCAACATTTGAATAATGAATGGAATTATTACACTAATTTAGGTTTAAATATGACTAAAATATTATTTAATATTTTACTACATTGTTGTAACCAGATAGTATAAATATAATTTAAGAAGAATTCATTTTTCGTAAGCATGCTCAACATGTAAATTAACAATGTACAAAAGACTATCATCAAACTGGCACTGCAAGCCTGTCTTCACTTATACTTATCGGTGTATTGCTGTTGAATTGTAAGTGATTGATTGACTGGTGGTGATTTAGGGTTTCTCTTATTCTAGGTTCTTTTACCTAATCAGATTAATTGTTTGAGACTTTAAAAAATTGAAATTGTTTATTAAAATTGACACTCTTTAAAAAGACTTTTGATCACTTTGACAAATTGATCATTAGTACACTTTTTAAAGTGTACTAATGATCAATTTTATTGTTGTAAATACTGAATTTGACATTAGTATGAAATAATAATTAGTATGAAATATTTGAATTTCATACTAATTATTGTTTTTGAAGTTATAATTTCTGTTTTGTAGTCAGAAAGTCAGTACTGGCATTTATAGTTTAATAAAGTCTTTAATATTTTGGACCTTGCAACTTACGAATTCTGGTTACAGCATAAGTTTAACCTAAAGAAGTTAACAAAATCTCGCAATTAATGATGTAAATATGGTAAATATACATGAAAGAGACTGCTTCTCATTATGAAAAACATGCATATATATATTGTTCCCTTTTTTTTTTTTACAATTACTAAATCAATTTAAATGCATGCCAATGTTTAATCATCCATCTTATTTTACAAAATTAAATTACAAAATACGCATGTATAAAATAGTTAACAAACATAATAAAACTGATAAAAATAGAGAATATTTTCTCTCAAATTCAAAAACTTTTTCTAATGCATATTGTTATATTTTTCTGATATGTATACTTATGTATTTAGTTTACAAATCATAATATAGTTTTAACAGTATATAGAAATTTTAAATATTTTCTTTAAATATAAATTAATTTAATATGTAACATACCATGTTCTAAAAGGTAATGAACAGTTCTTATATCATCTGCTAATACAGCATAATGCAAAGCTGTACAGTTTCTAAATGTCGCACGATTGTTAAGACGGTCACTAAATTCATCTTCACGAGCAACAAGCACTAAAATAAAAAAAATTCTCACTATTAATGTTTATTAACTTATTATGTTTCCATTTTCATCATTTAAAAAAATTAATTTTTAATAACGAATGAAAAACTTATAAATATATAATTTAATTAATTAGATAATAAAATTTTTTGGTTTATGTGCAAACAATGTCCAAACATATGCAAACAAAAATCCAATGGAGAGGTCCATTTATAATGTTTATGAACCTTCTGAAAGTACACTGTGTAGAAGCATATAAAATATGAAAAAAGTTTCCTCAATCAAATGTGGGTAAACATAATATCCATCATCTATTTCTAAAAGAGGTTGGAGAGGAGCTAGTGATGCCACATATCAAAATTAGTAGTAAGGTGACAATTAAAAACCAACACTTTCTGCAATTGATGCATTCTTGCTAAGTGCTAAGGGAAGTATTTCAAATAAAGGAGAAATTCCCCAAAAAAGATGTCTCATATGTCCTTCCAAGAAAGGAATACTGCTGAAACAAATCAGTTATAAATGCAAAAAGAACATATGCAACAAGTATTCAATGTAAAAGTTGTTGGCAAGAAAAAACAGAGTCCAAAGTAAAATAATTAAAACTTCATTTTATTTGATATTATAGAAAAAATATATATATAAAGAGTCTTGCTACATAGTGCCAAAACTATCACTTGACAATATTTTTATTAAAGTGTTGATAAAAATCCTAGTCCACTTATTTTGACATCCAGGATGAAATTGAATCATAAGGCATTTCAGCTAAAGAAAAAAAATTTTAATATGACAGAACATGTGAAATACTGTTTAAGCATTGTGATCATTATTTGGAATTATTCATGAAAAAATTATTCAAAAATGATTCCTATTTTTAAGTGACAGATTCACATCTTGCTTTTTGCTTTCCAGAATCCAAACTGATAAGGCTACCAGCGCTTGCATTAATAAGTAAGTAAAACTGGTGGCAGTAAATTATTTGAAGTGGTGAAAAAATTAAAAATTAGTGAAATGGTTGGCAATTTTAAAAAAATTTTCCAGAGCAGGCCTTGATATACAGGGAGATGCAAAAGTAGGTACACAGTTGTTACTATGGAAAAAAACATACAGGGAGAAAATAGAAAGAAAAACATTTATTTTTATGTACAAATTAAATCACAAATAAGGAATATGAACTAATAAAAGATAATAAAAATAATCATAATGAACACCAAACATTTGTATTTCTCAGATTCTCAACTGTATACCTATATTTGCACCCACCATATATATAATATATTTTAGAAAGAAGAAAACAAATTTAATTAAAAATTTATTACCTTCTAAGGAATGTAGATTTTTCTCTTTTGCAACTTGATAAACATTAGTAAATTCATCACCAAGATTTGGATCAGCTCCAGCTTTTAAAAGAATGTTGACAACTCTAATTAAATAAATTCAGTTTTATCCCTGAACTAATAGTAATAATTTTATTTACACTAAAATTTAACAAAATAACAAAGCTTTTCCATTTTACTTATACAATTGGATGTATAAGAATTTAATGCAATAATAATTGCAGAAATAATATTAATTAATTACAGTTTCTCTAAATAGAACAGCAAAAAATAGTAATTTAGACATATGACATTTATTTAGTACTCGTCCAACATTAAAGCTAAACTGTATGGTTATTCTGTAGCTGAACATTTAACATTCCTAGATAATTTTATCTACAAATTTATTTAAACAAGAGGAAGAAAGCATATACAAATTGGTTTCTATTTTGTTTTCTAATAAAATATATAAATAAATATGATCAGAATTCTATAATTTCAATAAATTTAAAATTCTGTTCTTTAATTGTAAGTGCACAGTTTAAAAATGAAATTAATAAAATAAATTTTGTTTCCAGAAAATTTTTCTTAATATTGATTACAGCTGACTAATTTTGCTTAATATTCACATTTCAGTATTTGTATTTTTTGAAATCTTTATCAAAAATTTGTTTTAATATAAACTATCTCTGCGTATCAATCATTTTTTTTATTCTTTTCTTTTTAAATTTTCTTTAATTGAATCATCTGTTTATTTAATATTAAATTACTGTGTTTATTCTAATAAACAGCAACCTCTAATAGTTAGCATTCTGTTTATTGGAAGAAGATAAAAGCTTATTTTAAATTGAAAACTTACAATCTATTTGATATTGTCACTTTTACCCATGTTGAAATAAAGTGGGAATGGATTAAGTGTTGGCTAAACAAAAGTAAATTGAAAAAGTTACTGAATTTATTTAATTAAAATAGTCACACTCAAATAACAATTACATCCAATAATCAAAAAATAAAAATAATTATAATCATGCTCTAATAAATAGCATAGTTGCAAGCTAAAAAAGTATAGACAGCATGCTGTTTATCAGAATAAATATGATGTATGTATGTATGTATGTATGTATGTATGTATGTATGTATGTATACTACTATATAAAGAGACAACGTATTTTTTGTTTGTGACCACTAATGGTGAAAACTACTGAACCAATCGTTACCAAATTTTAACTGTAGCACCTTTATGATCCCTGGAATGTTTACCACTAATGAAACCCACAGATTTTTTATTAGTTAAATAAAACTGCAATGGATTTTTGTCTGTATTTCTCTCTCTCTTTACTAGATGGCAACGAATTAATACTTTCTGTCTATAAGAAAAGTCTATTATTGAAGTTTACTATTATATTTGAAGAACTGACATTAAATTATAATTAGTTAATTAGCAAAATCTTCGAGAAATTAAAAAAGTAACGTCATCACTCTAGATGGCAGTATGTGTACCTATGGTGGGTTTTTGAATTGTTACACATTAATTTCTGCAGGAAATCATACAAAATATTCGAAATAGTTATTGAATTTATCTCAAATGAATATTTTTGAGACTGATTGATAAATAATGCCAACAGCTGCGAGGCAAGATAATAATAATGTTATTTGGAGTTTCAAAATTACAATGGGTTTTCACATACAATGTGGATTATCCACAAATAATTAATGAACAATTAGTTCAAATTTTCAAAGTTCTATATGTATGTAAGAGCAGGTGAGGCCGCGACAGGGAATGCTAGTGTAGAATAAATATGATGTCTGCAATATGTAACTTTTAGTTTTAAAATTTTTAATTTCTATTTATGTAATATTAAATTAAGAGCTTCATCAGATATTTTTATTTGTATTTTGTTTTTGGAGAATTTGTATTGTAAGAAGTCAAAAATGGGCTAAACATTGCTCAAAATAATTTCTGTTGCTTAAATTACTTATGTCTGTATTAAATAAAATGAATGCTTATTCATTTTATTTAATACAGAATTATCTAATAAGAGAAATTATACTTAAACAGCACAACATAGAATAAGAATAGTTTACACAACAAAACCAAATAATTTTTAAATTTCCAATGTTAAAAATTAATAGTAGTATTCATATAAAATAAAAGTGTAATATATTTGATGTAGATATAATCTACATCAAATATATTAAGTTTTCAAACTTTAATCAAATTCAAGTTTTCAAACTTCATCCTAACAAAGAAATTAAATTTTGTTCTAATACATAAACAAAATTCAAAATGTAGATTAAAAATCTTGTAGATATTTGAACTAAATTTTAAAAAGTATTTAATCATTACAACTATAGAAATTGACACTATAAATTCAATATGTATAGGAGCATAATGTTGTATAAATGATATTGTTGTAATTTCTGACATATATCCCATACCTCTCAAATTGTCAATTAAAATATGCTATCTAACTAGTAATTTATAATTTAGTAATTTAAATGTTTAAAAAACATATTTTTGTGAAATCCGGAATTTTACCGAATTTTCCGATTAATATCCCGCATTTTTCTAAACCCCCAATTAAATTTTCCTTTAAATTCTAAACTAAAACCTAACTTAAAAAAAGGAAAAAATTCCAATCTCCCCTTTCGTTCAAAGTAAACATCCGTCCATTTCAAAAATAATCCCACATTCCAACTCTAAAGTTGATAGTTAGCATGGGCCCAGGGACAACTTTGACCCATCCCATCCGAGTACCTTTTACCTCACAACAATTGGTCACATGACCACTCTCCCACAACAAAACTATAAAAGCCACTTGCTTCCCCCTCTCGGGGGAGTCGTTCATCAGCCGCCAACTACAATTTTCCTTGAATATTGTGTCCTATTGATATACTGTGTCCTATCGATATATTGTGTCCTGCGAAATTATCATCCTTATCCTACCAGTTCGAAACCCATTGGATATCATAACCTTTTTCCTCAAGAATATTTAAAGACATAAAGAGGTATGGAACAAATTTTTGTGAACTCTTTCTCGGCCCTTCGCGTTTTAGGGACTCAGCATTTCCCCTCGATAAATGTTATTGTACCGTCTATGTAAATAGCTAATAAATTGTTGTTTCCTTGTTAAATTGGTGTCCTCTTTACTCGTATATCGCCTGTCACCTTACCGACAGCACTCCTCCCTCTTCCATTCGATCCGAACAATTAAATCCTGTTACTGCAGGATAGGGAAGAAGAAACATTTAAGCCATCTTGACAGTGAGCAGGTTTAACGACCTGTCACCGGAAAGGGAGACCTCCAACCTCCCCGGCAGTTCACATTTTCAAACATTCCATTTTTTCCCCACCATTTCTTTCATTTTATTTCATTGTATATGTAATTATAAAATAAGTGAAATGAAAAAAGTAATATTTAAGACAAAATTGCCTGAACTGTGTTACTCATCATAAATATAATCATAATAATTGCAACTGTTCAGCAAAATATGAGTTTTCTTATATGTTAAAAACCTAATAAACTGTAATTGTTAGGCCATCCAAAAGGATGCTAAAATTATGGTTTGTTTATCCAATTACCATTTATAAAAAGTTACGCAAAAATTCATATTGTTGTTTTATAACTGAAAGTTGTTCTCAATCTCATGGAATACTTTATTTCTAAATTTAAATATTTTACACAGTTTAACAGCTTCCTGTAATTAAACATCCCTCTTAATGGCTTACCCTTATTAATTTTATGCCTATTTGTTATTAATTAAACAAATAGCTTATTAAATCATGGCTAAATGAAAATGGCTTATTACATCAGGATGAGACAGAACAGACTCAATTATTCAAATATAACTTATATTAATATGAGAATGCATTTCAGGTGATTTGACCCTCTCATCAGCCCATTTAAAGAGTAGACATATGGTAATAAGCACAATAAATATCTAAAATATTGTAACAAAATAGTTTACAAACTGATATTACAAACAAAACAGTGCATTGTGTAGGGATTGCAATTGCTGGATCCCTCCCTCATCCAGCAATCCAGCTGATCCAGCGCTGCAGATCCGCAAAAACTCAATTAACTTTCTAAATAATGGCGCAAAAGTCTACGTTGTTGGTGTTGCCACATTTCCACATGTGCTATCGCTCGGCGGCGAGGGTGATGTTGCTGTTCAGTGTGGCACATGCTACACCCCCTCTCTATACTGCACTGCCTGCCCTTTTACCTCTGCTGATCTAATTGCCAGTTGACTTTCCACTCTCACTAAATAAAATAAGTAACTCCTCTCCTAGTCCTGGTGCATAATTCTAATTTACGGTCGGTTGTGATGTCAATGAATCACGTGACGGAACAATCTCAGTTTAAGCCTATGGAGAGCTGCAGCCTTGCGGCTTGTCCATGAAACCTAACCTATAAACTGGCCATAAAAGCTCTCTGTAGAAGAGAGTCGAGTTTGATAACTGCTGACACAACCCTAAAATTTGTCTTAGACAAACTGAAAAGTCAGGACACAATCTTGAATGCCGACCTTTCCGAGGCACTCCGCAAAAAAATCAGAGAACGGCGTCTTATCGAGGTCACAGAAATGCTGATTTACATACAGAACCCGAAGAAGTATAATCAAAAAGTTAGAAAGCCTGATTATTCTTTCACAATACCGAAAAAAATGTAATGCGCCAGGAGATAAAAAATATGCTGAATCAAGTAAACACATATGTACTGGAACCAGCAGCAATGGCTGAGGATATCATGGAAACGGAAAATGATGATCCAGATAACCTGCATTCATTCCGTGAATTTCACATTGAAATAAGAATTGGAGATCCAACTAAAGCGTGAGAAAGAAAACTTCATGAAACGAAAAGAAACTAGTACTGAGAAGGATTATGATAAGTTATTAAAAAAGGAAATGGCTGTTTATGAATGTGAGGGAGTCAAAGGTAAAACTTATCTTTGATTTATGATTATTTGATGACCCTGAAACCAACTAGCATAGAGGCAGAAAGAGCCTTCTCCGCAGTGGGATATACATGCAGTTCATTAAGAAGTAGGTTGGGAGACAACACCATCAATACCATTTGTTTCTTGAGCTCCTACTTTTAGAAAGTCAAAAAAATAACAGAAGTGATTGATTTAATTTTATTTAATCCTTTAAAACACTTTATTCAAGACAAGACTAATATTTTATAACTTCTATTCTAATTCTATTAAGTAAGAGTTTTAAATTTTTATTCTATAAGTGGATGGGCTGGGCTAGGCTAGGCAAATTTATTGTTAAAATTAGTGAGAAACTGAGACTACCTAGTTAGTTAAATAGTTAATTAAATTAATGAGTATCACTATCTTAGATATATGATGATATGAATGCATATAATTCATGATTGTGATAATAATAACTAACTACTAAACTACTACTAATTATTTACTCACTACTTTACTAACACTAATAATTAAATTACTTATAAATAGCTACAGACTGATATGTAGAGCTTATATAAGAAAACTGGTAAGACTGATAGCCACTTAGCCATGATTATCCATCCTTACATTATTATAATATAGTATATTAATATAAATTAATTAGTAGAATTACCTCTGCTATTATTTAACTTAAAGATTACATTATAATTATAATCTAACCAAACATTTAAAGTTAATTATCTCTATCTCAAGTGTTAAACTGAACCAAAGTTAAGTTTACTACCTAAATATGTAAGAAGTTTTATTGATTTACTGTATAGTGACCAGTCTAAATAATAAAAGTTTCTTAAGTATTTAAAAAAATGTTTTATTTCATTAAAAAAAACCATAAGTTGATAGATAGATAGATAGATAACACTTTATTGCACCAAAAATACATCTGTGCTGGATCCGTGCTGGATCCAGCTGGAATGATGTTGATCCAGCAAAAATCCAGCTGGATTGAAAACACTGCTGGATTGCAATCCCTAGCACTGTGTATACAATTACATAAAATACTAAATTAAAATTAATTAAAATTGCACAATACAATAATAAAAACTAATTGATAGTTGTAGTTAGTCTTGAACTGACAAATTAAGCTATTGTCTTCATAATACATAATATTGGTTTTACTAAATTTAATTTTTCTATTAGTTATCTTTATGCTGAAATAAGTAAGCTTCAATTCATATTAACTTTTTCTACATTATTTTGTTTAGACTGTCACAATTTTACAATATTAATAGAACTTTAGATGTCATAAGTTTAGATGATACTATAACCTTGATACTGATGAAAAATTATCAAATAGACAACAATAAGTTATGGTGCCAAGATTCACTGAATTTTAAAATGATAATTAATATTTTAAATTGTTTACAAATGTTACTTAAATACATATAAAAACATTATAGTTGAAAAAGTGAAGCTATAGAGAGTCAATTCTAACCCATTCTATTTTGTTTGGGAATTATTTTGTTAGTTATTCTATTTATTTTGAAGTGTTTTATTTTGTTAAGGATAAACTACCACACCTCAACCAAGAAAAATTCAAAATTAACTCACCTTACTATGACGACTGTTGGTGTCATAATAAGGCATCATCAAACCCAGAAATGACATCTCAGGTTGGAGACTTCCACAGGAAAGTAAAAGAAAGATCTCCCACCCCAAATTGTCATCGGAAATGCCATAAAAATATTATAAAATTAATGGTTAGCGAGTGCTAAGATTGGCTTTACTTTACTTCTACACTTATTACACCACCACAGTCTAGAAGTAAAGTAAAGCCAATCTTAGCACTCACTAACCATTGAGAAGACTAGACAAGAAGCGTATCATAGTATTATAAAATTACTTGTAAGGGAGATGACATGAATTAACAAGACCAATTACTAGAATGAATGAAATGTTAATGACTAAATATGTAAATAGGGTCAAGTGGGCGTGCGTATGCTTGTAATGTCACCCCAAACACACTATAAAGAGATGAATTGAAGAATCAAACAAGGTGGTGCTAAGGACAGAGCAAGATTGATGAAGGGATTTCCAGTTCCAGTGATGACAGTTTCTTTGTGATAGATGAATTAGTAAGATTCATTGTGATTTTTCGATAACTTTTCATATTTTGATTGTTGGTTTTGTGAATATTGTTCTAAGATAGTTGTAGTTTATTTTGTAAGTCTGCAATTGTCAGGAAAAGTTTTTGGAATTTTTGATAAATTATCTTTATATTTTGCAAGTTTTTCTCTAACATTTTTTCTTGATTGTACATATTCAGGCTTGTACTAATAAATAGATTTTTTTGCACTACATATAGTAATTATTTCAGGTTTTTATTTAATAATGAATTTATTTTTATTGCCCATGCTAAGTCTAGGCTTGGCATTTTGAATCCTTCATTCATGTAACACACCATTAGCATATTATCCAGGATTTTGATTTGATTGAATAAGACATTACAAAGAAAATACATTTAGTTTCAATTTAATTTGCAAAATAGCAAAAACTAAGGCTATTGTGTGTAAATGAAAAGAAACATCATACAAGCTACAGATATCATTTTAAATATATAAAATTATTTTAATTCTCAAAATTTACTTTACAGCAATAAGAAGAACAAGTGTTTATAGCCTGTTAACATTATAATTAGCAAGTCATGTCTTAACTGTAAATGGGATTGACAAATCACTCAAGTTTTGAAAATTCATCTTTTGTTTAACAGATTATATATACTGTATATAACAATAACTGTAAAATAAACTAAAAGAAATTAAATAGAAAAAACTTTTAACATGGATAATATCTGTGTTATATAAGTATAACAATAGGTGTATTGAGGTGGAATAAATAAGTGGAGTGTCTAAAGGTGAAGCATATGTTAGATAGTTTCCTGAAAAATTTTATTACCAAAAGAACATATACAGTGCATAAAGAATTTATCACAATCTTTAGTAATGCTCTTAGTAAATTTAGACAAAGGAAAAGCCAAAATATATAAAAAACAACAGACATCAAATTATTACCTAGATGTGCATTTTAAGAGTCTTTTGATGTTAATAGTTCTTCATCAATAAAAATAACAAGAAACATCATTTTTCATACTGAAAAAATTATTAACATAAAAAGACAATATTTTTTTTTAAAAAAAAGAGCAGTTGGACAAGCTAGTAGTTGCAATTTAAAACTGATTCATACCCATTTTTGAATGAACTTTAAAACACACAACTCACAGGTATCCTCATTATTCAAAGCAGATGTTATTGTTCAGATATCAGATGGAACACAAGCAATCACTTGATAAACTGATACATATTGTTTTGAATTCTTTTCTAATAGAACTAATAAACTTAAACCTTAAAAATGTTTTTTCTTACAATTAAAAATTTTGAATTTCAAAAATTGACTGACTATGATAAATTTGAAATAATTTATTGCAATTTAAACATGTAATTAATTAATTAATTTCATTTCAGAATACAAAATCATCCAATAAATATTAATTATGAAGAATTGAAACTTACTCAGAGTGTCCATTCATTGCAGCAACATGTAGAACTGTCCATCCAAGTTTGTGTCTCTGATTAACATCACCACCTGATTCAATTAACCTAATAAATTATTTTATATTAAAATTATTAAAAACATCCATATACTTTAAATAAAATATAATTGTCAAAATTTACTGAATTTGCAGTACAGTAATACCCCGACTTACACAATTTTCAAATCTTGTCAATTCATCTTTTGTTTGAGCGCCACGCAACCCTTGATTACTCACTCCCCCCACACTATTGTTTGGCTTACATGTTTGGACATGTCGCGCGGAATCCACACATAGCTACAATATATTTTGTGTTATTTATTTCTGTGTTTGTTATATCTACGGAGACTCGAGAGACTCTACTATGTCATCCAAACGAAGTACAACTAATTCTTCTGCATCAAACAAGAAAAGAAAAACTTTATCTTTGGAATGTAAAGTTAACATTGGGTATGTTCGTAAAGTCGAACGAGTTAAGCAAGAATGAAGTTATCATTATTCCTACTTCGTTAGACTTTTCGAACGATTCCTTACTAATGCGTTTAACTCGTTTGGCTTTACGAATGTACCCATTATTAAAGACTTCGATACAAAAATGAAATAAAATAAAAGACAAAACTGTCCAAAAAGGATCACCATTTATTACTTGTGTTCCAAGACTAAAACATTTTCGGCGACTGACCTTCCTTTTTAGGCTACTTGTCGCCGTAAAGTTCACAAAAAGTCCTTTTAAAAACACAAAACATCCAATTAAAATTTTATAAAATTTCTGAAAAAGGAACTGGTGACATGCAGTTGTCTTGCTTCCATCATACCTTCTTTTGGGGTTTTCTTCTTCTTTTTATCTACTAAAGAGTAGCGCTGGAAAATGTAGATTTTTAGAAAAGTTGCCCCCTGGTGACGATATATGTAGAAATTTCTTCTGTAAAAAGAAATTTCTTCTTTACGGCAACAAGTAGCCTAAAAAGGAAGGTCAGTCGCCGAAAATGTTTTAGTCTTGGAACACAAGTAATAAATGGTGATCCTTTTTGGACAGTTTTGTCTTTTATTTTATTAAAAATAATTCTCCATCGGACGAACTTTTACAGAACAAAAATGAAAATTTGTGAATTGGCAAAGAAGTTTGATCTACCGGAATTATCGGTCAGAACAATTATAAAAGGCAAAGAAAAAATTCTCGAAGCTGTGAAAAATGCTCAATCTTTAAATTCAAACATCATTCGTAAACATCACAGTATTATCGCTGAGATGGAAACAATGTTAAAATTATGGCGTAATAATCAAGTAAATGTGAAAAATTGTAAAATAATATAGGCCTAATTTGTTACACATGTATTATGTAAGATTTTATTAACCCCTTAAGCCCATAACCCGAGATATCTCGGGTTTTTTCTAAATTATTGCATTTTTTTCTAAATTATTGTTTTCTTTAGTCTCCGGCCTCAATTAAAAATTATTTGTATGTATTTATATGCGAAATTATACCCCAAAATATGCGAATTCGACTTACACGGTTACCGCTCAGTCCCACCTATCCCGTAAGTTCGGGGTATTACTGTATATTGATTTTGTTTAAATTGATTTGTTACAGGCATTTTTGTTATACAGCATACAATAAAATATATTTAAGTGAATACTAATATTAAATATATTAGTATATATATTAGCATTCACTTAAATATTATTAATAATAATAATTTATTAATATTCTAAATATTATTCTAAATGTAATATTCTAAATTATATAATAATAATTTTCATATTCTAAATATTAAAAAAAACAGATAAATGCACAAAAAATTCTTTATGAAACTAGATTCCATTTTATCAACATTTCATTCAAATGATCAATTCATTGTATACTATATATAAAATTCATAATCAATATCATATTTAATAAATAAATTATAAAAGAATAAATAATTTATATGAGACTTCATATTTTTATCATCTCATTACTTGAAATATTACAACAAATTAAAAAAATACCTTTTAACACTTTCTTCATTTCCTTGTTTAGCAGCTTTTAGCAATCTACCATCTAAAAAATAATTATATTGATAATCAAAAGAAAATTATATTTTAATATTGATAATCAAAAAGAAAATTATATTTTAGTTAGTTTTTAAAATGTATCATTATGTTTACAGTTATTAGATTTATAGTCTATAATAAAATAGTTTAGACAACAGACATTTAATCAGACAGTGACACTTTACATAAAAACTAACCAAAATTAAAAAAGTACTACTAAATACATAAATTAACAAGATTAAACATGCAAATATTTATTGTGACGTCATCACAATGCCAGGCTGCAATTTTTAATCATATTTTTAAATTTATTTAATTTAAAATTTATGCTCTCCATCTTCAAATTAGTAGTATCTTGCCCCTGTACATCATACTTTTCCTTTAGTATTCAAGTTGTGCCAGTCATCTAATTCCTTTCATGGAAAACTTTTTAATTGAAATAACGTGACTTCTGGTTTGCATCAGAAGTTTGCATATAGTTAATTGGGCTTCCTGCCCTTAAGCTTTCCATATCTGGTCTTGGCTTTCATCTAAGTACATTCTGTAGATTGAGGAAGGACAGATAGATGGACAACAGTGGGAATTTATACATCTATGATATTTTCAAATTGCAGCCCAATTAATATTGAATGTCTTTAGCCAGAGTACTCGGAAAACCAGTCCTATTTAGCAGTTGTTCCAAAGAGCAAATGCCTGCATACTTTGAACATTTGGAAAACTTCAAAAGGGCTTGGACCTTATTGGTTGAGCCCACAGTTTAAAGAAAGTTCTACAGGAGAAATTCCATTTCAATATAATAAGTCTTTGTAAAAATTCATGATGTTAATGAATCTACAAAAGTGAACCAAAAGTAGGTATATAGTTCCCTTTATGTTTTACTTGTTTTTATTTTGCAGATATCAAAAAACAATGGCAGGGAATCTGAGCAAAGAATGAAGAAAATGGATTCCGAAATTGTATTGGAAGACTAACCCATCAAATTTATATCTGATATGATAAATTATCAAATGTGTTGATGGACTATGTCAAAAATCTTGTCATGCTTTGTGCACCATTTCAGCATTTTCAATTTTCGAATAGTGTTTAAGAATCCACTTTCTTTGTTTTTCAATCAGATTTCCCACCATTGTTTCTCAATACCTGAAAAATAAAAAAATAAAGAATTAAAAGAACTATATACCTAGTTTAGCTTATTCTTTATATAATAGAGTTGCAAATGATAGTTGGTTTTATCAATATACTAGCAATTTTAGAAACTGGCTCTAATTATTGTTCAATAAAAGAAAATAAATCAAACAAACACTAAGAATTCTCTAGCAAAAATTTCTTTAATCATATTCGAACCAGTTTGATGGTTCAGCTTCAGTCACTTACAACTCAATTTGAATGTGAAGAACAAATTTATTCAAATATTAATTTAAGATTAAACATAAAAGAACAAATAACAATTATTTTATGAAATTACAGTCATATAAAATAAAAATGAAAATTAAAAATAAATGAATAATTTTTATTTTGTATGATTTTTGTAATTACTATAAGTAACAGTTACTTGTTCTTTTATTTACTTGCAGAGAATTTATACTACAAACTGAAAATGTTATTTGCACCACGTATCTTCCACGTTTTCTGTGTGTTGAGTTTTTGATAATACACCTGTTTGTTTTGACACAGGCCACAATTAGTGTTTTGTGCACTTTTCTTCCTCTTTGATCATGTTCACTTCATTTTCATACAACTGAATTGGATCAGAGAGCAACAGAAAAACAACTCGCAGAACACCAGTCTATATTCTGCAAGTTGTTTCTCTGTGGAGTGCCATCATGCCGCAATCACATGACAGGTTTGATACACACAGTCTAGAAGAGAGTCTTTGCAAATAATTGATTTTCTGTTTTCATAGCATAGATTTCATTTTTATTTATAATAATAATAATAATAATAAACTAATGGTGTAATGGACTATTAATTTTTAATGAATTAACGTCAATTCGATGATAAGTTGCTACTATTTGAGAAACAATTAAACGATTAAACTTTAAACTAAAAGAAAAATTATTTTCCTCATTCAATATGTATACTTAGGTAAATATTTACCATACTTAATATTAATCATTATATGCTTCATTTAATAAATTATCAAATTTGAATTCAAGCTTTTATTTATTGTCGTCTTACCATTTCTGCGATTGCTCTCACAAATACCAAAGAGAAATAATGCATATCCAATCCAGGGAAAACGTTTTTGATTCCATAATCGATATCGAAACCTATGCGTAAATGTATTTATATCTAAATGTGTTAATGGAGTTAAATACGAAGCATTTCTTCTTCCATCCACGTGATAAAATGTCAATTTTTTCGATAGTTGATTCAAAGAAACATATTTACATCTATAAAATTTTACAAAGTACTTCCTAATTGTATTTGCAAATAGTTTATGGCTAAGTACAACATTTGGTCGAAAAAAAGGCATATTCAGAAATATGTTTTGCTTTCTAAACCATAATTTAACGATTCAATTCAGTCTACTCTCCTTCCGTCACGACAATGTTCGTCGTCGGGAGTTAATTAGCTACGAGGCTATCTTTCATCAGCTATAAAACGTCATCTATAATACAGTAGTTCAAAATGTGAAGATAAAACATGTGATAATTTTTTTTTTTTTTTTTTGTAAATTTGAATTAAATTTTGTTTAAAATATAAATTTCTTATTTTTATAATTACACATATAATATTCCCTATGATTAAAAGAAAAGTATATAAACACTGAATTATTTATAATATGTTTTTTTTTTTTTTTTACTCTTTCCGTCCTGTGGACACTAAGAGGACATAGCAAGCTCATTATGGGTTTTGCCAAGTCCACAATGAGGCGACCGGGTGGTGAGGGACGGGGCCCGACATATCCAGACGGACCACCCTCGAAAAACTTATGGGGATTATTCGACCCGTCTGGATTCGATCCCGGGTCCCCCAGAGCGGTAGGCTGCCACCTTGACCGTTCGGCCATACGACCTGTTTATAAATTGGTTTTACACATGGAGTAAGCTACGTACAGTACAAAAGAAATGCATTAAACGCGGTCGTTCTCAATAATACGAAATGGAATTATTAAATATTTTTTTCTGATCTTACAATTGTTAATAACGTTTTCAGTGGCGTAGTGTGGGTGCCAGTTGCCTGGGGCAAAGGAAAATTTCGCCGTCCCCTTATTTAGGTATCTAAATTTAAAAGACTAAAATTCAGTTTCGTCACAGAATAAGTAATGAAAAATTCCGTGCTAGTGTTGCCACCTTTTAAAATCGCTAACCCGGGCAGGTGAGGTTTGTTCGAACAAAGTTCCTGACGCATGCGTATGTCATTTTGCAATGCGAAGAATAATGTGCAGTGCATACCGGTTCTAAATCAGTTACAGTTAGCGACTAGGGAGACTTGGGTACAGTGACGTGCCGTCATTAGAAGCGGTGGAAGCACCGCTCCCCTTGTATTTTATAAAAAAATAAATACATATTAATTTTAATAATATGAAAATAATCGCACAATATTTTATTATAACCGCATTATGTATCTTATTACAAATTTCTATACTACACGTGAGAAAAAAAGTAAGATTGCTATTGTATATTCGAATATTAGTGGCGGAGTGGAATCTCTGAATTGTCAGATTCCAAAAAGCCAGATTTACGCATGCGCTTTACAGAGCACCAACCTCACCCGGTTTACCCGGTGGAAGCCTACGACCTTGGGTTGATGCTACACATATAATGCTTCCAATTCTATCCGGGACCGGTTCTGGGCAAGGACTATATACTACAAGGATAGCCAGATCCCTATTCTACAATGTTAGCCAGGAATGCCAAGTTAGTGACGTCAGCACAAGACCTGACCTCTCTGTTTACATAGAGCAGGATGTGCACGTGTTTAGTTTTCGCTTTTAATATTCGTCCAATTTTGTGATTAACGAAGTGATTTATTTTAATATTTCTGTAATTGTTTTATTTGACTAAGTTTTTTATAAGGTAAGATGATTTAAATATAAGTCATTAAATATTTAAAGCTATATTTTTATGTTAGGTGAAGAACAAAATGCCGGGTACTAGGTGTGCTGTGTATGGTTGCAATAATAACCTTCTTGCAGTAAAAGCTAAAGGAGAAAGTGTAACGTTTCATGTGTTTCCTAGACAAAAAGACTTAATTTCTAAAAGAATTAGGTCTGAATGGATTAATCGTTGCAAAAGGAGCGATAAATTTAATCCAGATACAAATAGAATATGTTCTGTTCATTTTGTTCAAAGTGATTATGAAAGAGATTTACAAAATGAATTTAGTATAAAACTCCAGAATATTTTCTATTTCAGGTTTACCAGATAGAAAGATTCTGAAGAAAACAGCTATCCCTGCATTAAATCTTCCGGAAAGAATGAACCCAACAGTTACGGAACGAGAAAGAAAAAGTTCAAAAAGAAAACAAAAAGAAGAAGTTAATGATCTTTTAACAAATAATGATAACAATAGTAACAATCTTCAAGATGAATGTCATTACGAAATTAAATATAAGAAGCTGTTAGAAGAATATAATGTTTTAAAATCAGAATATGAAAAATTGAAAAAAGATCATAAAAAAAGAATAAAAGTATTAAACGATTTATTACGATATTACAAAAGAAGAAATATCTATCGTCCAAATGTACAAAAATCAAACCAAATGGCTGCAGATTTGTTGACACAGGTCTTTACAAAAAAATCAAATTTCATTACTATCAAAAAAGAAAAAACGAGTTAACTGGAACACAGAAGATATGTCTATAGCCTTAACATTAAGGTATTACAGCAAAAAATGCTACTTATATTTAAAAAATAAACTGCATTATCCTTTGCCATGTGTATCGTCATTGAAAAAATGGGCATCTCAAGTAAATTTACGAGAAGGAATATTGAAAGATGTCTTATTAATGTTGAAATTGGCTGGAGAAAATTTTACACCTTTTGAAAAAACAGTGGTGCTTTCATTTGATGAAGTAAAAATTAAGGCAGTTGAAGAGTATGACGTCTCTGCAGATGAAGTTCTAGGACCTTACAGTCAAATGCAAGTCGTCATGATAAGAGGTCTTTTTTCAAATTGGAAGCAACCTGTTTATATCGGGTTTGATCAAAAAATGACAAGAGAAATACTTTTAAAATTAATAGCAGAACTTTATTTACTATCATATAATGTAGTAGCTTGCGTCAGTGACTGTAGTTGCAGTAACATAAGTTTATGGAAAGAATTGAATGTGAATATCAATGAAACGTTTTTCCTTCATTCAAATACAAAAAATCATGTATAGTATATATTTTTGTAGATGCTCCTCATTTACTGAAATTATTGCGAAACTGGCTCATTGATGTAGGTTTTAAATTTGAAGACGGTTCTGTAATAAATAAAACTCCATTGCAAGCCCTAATTTCTATCGCCGATACTGAAGTGAATTCGTGTTGGAAAATTAATGAAAAACATATAAACTGTCAAAAAAGCCAGCGCCAAAATGTTAAGTTGGCAGCTTAGATTTTATCAAATACCGTGGCTACAGCTCTTTTACACTACCTTCCTGGTACAGACAAAAAAATGGCAGAAAGATTGGGTAATTTTATTAGACATATAAATATGTGGTTCGACATTTTTAATAGCTATACACCAAAAGGTTCTGTTCCAAGCAAAAATGGATATGGTATAGACTTGGAATTACAAAAAGAACATTTAAATAAAATGATAAAAATAATCCCAACAATGAGAGCAAGTGGAAAAAATGCCCTCCAAATTTTCCAGAAAGGAATGATAATCTCAATGAAATCGCTAATTGGTCTTTTTCAAGATATGAAATCCACTTTTGATATAAAATACATCTGTACTCACAAGGTTAAATCAAGATTGTCTCGAAAATTTTTTTTCAAATTAGAAGCCGGGGTCCTAATGAACATTCAAGCCCATTAAATGCTATATATAGGATTAGATTGATTATTTTAGGTAAGAATCCTGGTATTTTAGAGTCAAAAGTAAATACTATAGATCAAAGACAAGAAGAATATATTATACCCAAAGTTTTAGAGAAAGCACATGTAGAAGTATCAAGTGAAAATACAGACCAATATACTAAATGTAAAACTACTTTTTCTTCAAATAAATCTTCAGGAAACTCTACATGCAATCCAGACTTTAACACAATCTCTGAAGAAACTTCCCACGATGCTCTCGAGTATATAGCAGGATATCTTGCCTATAAATATAAAGAAAAATACCCAAACTTGGGTAATTCCACTAGCAAAATTAAAAATCATCACAACTATAGCATTCCGTCATGGGTGCAGCGTTTATCTTATGGAGGGCTTTATTAAACCTACTGATGAATGGCTAGCAAAAATTACAGAGTGGAATAAATATTTCGAAATATATCACGGTGAATCGTATAAAAAAGGCCCCGGAGTTGTACAGAATTTGTCAGTGGAAATATCAAAACAAGAAACAGTTTTACCTTTTACCTTAATAAAAGATTTTTGTAAATTAAGAACTATAATAAGAATTAATTATAGAAATCTTAAACAAGAAAACTATAAAATATTGAAAAGAATGCCTTCTGAAAATGGTGATTGTCGAAAAAAAATTAAAAAGTTAAGTAAGATAATCACATAATAAAAAATACAGCTCATTAATTTGTTAAATAAATGTTAGACAAAAGACTTGTAAATTTATTTACGTACACTTATTAAATCCGAAAATTCTATAGTAGTTTACAGTTAGTAGTAATTTAGTAATTAATTAAGAAATGATTAAGTATTTTATCGTATTTTGTTATTTGAAAGGTCTGTCTTGAAGTAGAGGGCTTGCTGTGACGTCACATAGATCCAAGGTCACGCTAACAAATATACTGGATCTGGCTATCCTCTGTAGTTTAAAGTCCTTGGGTTCTGGGCTGTTAGCTGATTACGTGAATAACGAGTAGATTTATAACTTAACCCAACCGATAAGAATTTACTGGTATGTTTTTACGATAGTTCTGTATAGTTGACAGGAGTTAAAAAAATTCATTAAAATATTTGATATTTTTATTCCGCCCTCCGATTTTATATTACTCACGGATTTCGATGTTAAACCAGTGATATTACGATTTCGTATATCCCATGAGTGTAAGGACGCCGATTGGGGGGGATTTTATTCCCTACCGTCGGGATGGCAATTTTTAGGAGGCAGGAAAGACAAGTGTTTCGCAAAGAATATGCTTACATAAAATTATCAAGCTCCTGGGTTTGAGAGTTCTGTGAGTTGTCTTCGGAAGTCTCTTTCCTTTCGTTCCGGTCCAACGCTGACAGGGCCCCGGGGCGGCGACACTTTAATGTTCGCGATGAACGGACGTACGATAAGCGGAGAGGGAACGAACACCACTGGTAGACTAGAGGCCACCCTTCTGTCCTTGACGTCGGAGTTTTTATAAGTTTTTCGTGGGGGAATTTTATCAACTAGATCTTGAAATGTCTTTTGTTATTCAAGAGGATATATTTCAGGTTATTGAGTCTACTTTATACAGTCGACCCCCCTATAATGTGGGTTCCTATAACGGAAATTCCTATAACGTAGCGAAAAAATTGCGGCAGTATTCGTATAAAGGGATTCGTAAAACGTCGTCGCCGACTCGTGTCGCGACAAGATTGGTCGAATCTGGACCAATAGTGGATGAGCAGCCGAACTACTTTCCGCCGACCCTGCGCCACGCTACGGAGCGGCTAAATTGAGTTTGCTATCGTCTGTTTAGTATTATATATAAATTATATATAAATTAGGTACTGTACATATAATTATATATTAATTATATATAAATTAGGTACTGTATATATAATTATATATTAACTTAATTTATTGTAACTTTATTATAATTATATATATACTTTCCGCCGTCCAGCGCCACGCTACGGAGAGTTTAGGCGAGTAAGTTGAGTTTACTATCGTCTGTACAGTATGTAAATTAGGTACCGTAAGTCTAATACAGCACTAATTTTATACATTTCTTGTGAAAGAAACATTTCTTATTCAACGGCCATAAAAATTATTTATATTAATGATGTCTCCAAAGTTCAACGAAGTTTTCACAGAAAAATAACGTATCAGAAAACGCGGCCGCCGTTTGGTGCGCTGCTCCGCGACGAAAACAAGCGTAAGAAACGGCGTAGTCGAACGGTGCACATTCGGTAAGTTCTCCTACAATTTTTTATTTATAGCATAGTTTATACGGATTATTCCCAAAAAATTATACGTTTTGGAAATGTTAAGTCGAATTAGTCTAGAATCGGTTAATTTTATAGAAGAAACCTTTCAAACAGCCTTAGTCCGTAAACTTCACACGTGTCGGGTTGTGATTGACTCATGTATTTAAGGATTCCTACAACGTAAAATTCTTATAAAGTGGAACGTATCTAAGCGTTATAGGGGGTCTACTGTATAAAGTGTTTGCCAAATTTTCTAGCATGTCTGTTGATAAAAATTTTCCATGTATTACATACAAAGATTTTGTGACTGAATCGTCGCTAATTGGACTGACTTTTCTTCTGCGCTTTCTAATTGGTCCCCCACCTGTCTCCAGGTGTAAATGGAGCTCCGTGTCGGTCGTGGGAAAGGTCGGCTAAAGATCGTATATTCGACACCTTCCTTTAGACCAGTGTTTCTCAACGGGGGCGATATCGCCCCCATGTGGGCGTTTTTTCATGTTGAGGGGGCGATTAGTAACAATTTATACTTTGGGGGTGAAAAATAATTTTCTGAGCGATATAGTAAAACATTATATTAAGAATAATTAGATATTTTATTCGTTATGTTGTACAATAAGTAAACAAATAACATTATACTAGTCACTAGTCTATTCAATGAAGTACGAATTTGGCGTTAGTCTTGGCCCTCGGCATCGGAATTTTGAAGTGAAGGGGGCGATACTACGTAACTTATTGAAGGGGGCGATGATTCGTTAGAGGTTGAGAAACTGCTTTAGACTCTGATCGCGTTTAATTAATCGATGACTGACACCCACGCTCATTCTGATGTTTTTTAGTTTCATTTTGCTTTCTAAATTGCGTCTTAATATTTAAAATTATTTTTTTTAATTTTCTTTAATTGAAATTTTGCTTTTCCTGTTATTCTCTATGAGCGTCGACGTCAAAGCCCTGTGTCGCCGACTCGACACTTATATAATTTAATATCTTGAGGTTTAACTTAACAAATTCTTACATATCTTTCTTTCTTTTTGAGGGGGCTATTTCCGGTGCCTCACATGAGAATTGTTTTAAAAAACTAAAGCCTTGAAATTCATTGGCATATTGTGAGACTTGATAGATACGCAGTTGTAAAGTTGGTTATTTTTTTAAACTCTTTCCGCCCTGTGGGCACTAAAAGGGCCTCTTTTTAGCATGCCCACAATGGAACGCGGCCCGACATATATCACTCCCCGAAAAATTCCTGGGGATTTTTCAACCCCGGGTCTCCCAGACCGGTAGGCTGCCACCTTAACCGCTCGGCCATCCGGCCCGTAAAGTTGGGCATGGCTGGATCTATATCATGATGAAATGTGACTGGAGCTCATGTATCTTTATTTCCGGTTTTAATACCTTCTCCACATAGTATTCTGCATTAACTGTAAGTCATTCTTATTTTGGAACTCCGATCAGAGGAAGGGTACCTACGATCACAAAGCCTTCTGATCATCTTTCATCGCAGTGAACCAGCCACTCACAGGAACATTTTCTTGTTTAGCATACAGAATCTTCTCCTCCTTGTTGCAGATGTAAGCCTCGTATATAGTGACTATGCACTCTGACCATCACTAGCCATTCGTGCATCTTTCGTCTATGTCTTCCGGTTTAGAATGCTCCTGATTTAGCCTATGTCCTTTCGTCTTTTTCCTGGTAACCAAGTCCAAATATTTGGTTGTTATTATTATTCATACTCCCTACTGTCATTTTACAAGCTTTTTCAATAGCTCTGACTCGAGGGAGGATTAAGTTCCAAAACTAATTTTCGTACATCTTTCTGTATACTTTGCTCGATTCTTGTAGTTTTCAGCTTAGCACACAATGCAGATTTCTCGTCTGCTAACACTGCCAACTGCTTTTGCCAACATTTTTGATGATTCTGCAAAATCGTGCTCTCACACAAATATTTGTTTTTCTAATTCTTATTTTATGACATTTGACGAAAAATTCTGCTAGAAAGGATTCTGATCCATATTTGTTCCAACATTCAACACTACAAGACAATATCACTGATATTGTATATCACAAGAAAGGTTTTAGAAAAATTGTAATTTCTATGATAATGTTTGCTATAACAATAAAAATAACAATTATTATGAAAACTTGAATAACATATTTTATTATATTATAGAGCTAATTTATTTTACAATATTAACAAATCATATTGAAAAAGCTTGCATTACTTTAAAAAAAAGGGTGATTAAAAAAGCAGTTGAAAAGGCACAATAAGGCTCATTTTTATTATAGTTATGATGCAATATTAAATTTGTAAAATTTCTGTTAATATGCTCATGTTGTTAAATGAACAGTTAAACAAAAGAATATCATTACATTGTTCTAACATTTGTTGTAATGTAAGCTTTTCAATAAAATCTGAATTTCAGCATAACGTTTCTCTTCATGCAACTTGCGTATGTCAATTTGCATAAAGCTTTACATTCAAAATGTCTTTTTATTAGCAGAAAATAATTTTCCTTTAAGCTACTTTCTTAACAATGATTTTTAAAATTCAAAATATTGTAACACTGAAATTTTCTTACATTTATGATTTATACAACAAATTCATATATAAATCTTTTAAACTTTTCCAAAATCTGCACTTGTCGTAAACAAATTTCAAAAATTTTTACATCTTTTTTACAAAAGAAAGTTTTCAGCACCATTCAATGAAATATGCTAGATACATGAATTTCTGCAACAGCAATTAAATTTCTATATTATTGTTAAAAGCTGTGCCAGAATAGTTTCTTAACAAAATTAATATACAAATTGTATCACAAATTTTATTGACATTATATTGAACACATTTAATTTTCATTATTAGAGAAAAGAAGAAAATCTAGAATAAAATAATGTGAAATATATAAACAATCTGATTAATCATTCACGTTGAAAACTGTGATTATTAGAATTATTCTACACAATATATATTACAAAATAATTATAAAATGTATGCCTGAAATATCACAAAAAGTAAGTACAAATTATCTGAAAAGTCAACTCAACCTATACATATATAATAATAAAAATGGAGGAACAAAAGCATATTAATATTATCAAAAGTATATGATCTGTATGGCCTGTAGCTTTAAGGCTTGTTAAAATTCTGTGATGTATGAAAGCAGTGTTACACCTGAAGTGATTGAAGAGTTATAAAATTTTTTTCATTTCTTCTTCAATTTTTTTATTCATCCACTGAAAAAAATTAAATTAAGAAATTAATTGTAAAGACTGATTTTTCTATATGAATATTTACTGTACATGTAATAAACAATGAAACACTAGAGATGTTGTGGCTGAAATTTTCAATGCAAAAACATGTACGTCAGACTTTCAGCGCTGCCTTCCTGTAAGCCTAGAAGTTTGACAATGGCATTTGGAACATCAGTGAAATCATGCTTCACATTCAAAATGACATTGTCAAACTTCTAGGCTTACAGGAAGGAGGCACTGAATGTCCGTCGTACATGTTTTTGCGTTGAAAACGTCAGTCGCAACCTCTCTAATATTAAGTAATAGATACTGATAACAAATTATGGAAAGAGATTAAATCTATTCTCATACTATATTAAGCATCTTGACATGTATAAGCATAAAATTTAATATTAGTTTATTGATACTTGAATTACAATTAAATTCATACTTGAATTACAATTAAACTATTCAGTTCATCACTATAGTTTCCTTTTGCTTAGAGTAAAAGGAAATTACTTGTATGCATTTAAAAATGCTTTATGTGCTTTTAACATTGAATAAAAAAAAAAACATAATATTTAATTATAAATTTTAGTTATACAGTAACGTACATGTTTTTTCAAAATGTATTTTATTTTCAAGTCAAACCAATCTGGCAATGAAATAAAGATATCTTGAAGTGTTTAATCTGAATAAGAATTTAAAAGTGACTTTTTTAATTACAGGAAGGTAATTAATGGTTTAAGATTTATGGAATCAATATTTCAAGTAAGAATGTGTGGGTAAGAATAGAAATCAGAAATAAAAGTTGCTAAAATTAAAGGGGTATTTTTATATGATAATCAATTAACATAATTAGATGTGTTAAAATGCCATTTTGTACTAAATTTAAAAATTAGGTTTTAATATATGAATTAATTTAGAAAAATCTAATAAAAGGAAAGATCTGACTTGGAGTCAGACCTAAAACTGCAACTATTGCAAGCTAGGTAGAGAACATTACAGATTACACATCTGGACTTGCTAGTAGTAGGCTTGCAAATTTTCTAAACATATAACTCTTTTCATGCATTCTGCTTCTGCTCTCTCCTTTTTTCAAAACTGAGTTTATCAATGCCACTCTTCTACATTGCAAGGGTAAAAATTTGATATCAATCTACTAATATTTGATGTAGAAAGTGTCAGAGCACAATCTAAAAATGGAATAGTTAATAATCTTGTTCAACAAGTTTAAAGATACAAAGAAATCCTATGAAATGATGGCATTGAAGATAATTAAGGTATTTTTATTTTTTATGTTTAATTACATTAATATTAAAAATTGCTCTAGGCTTAAGGAGTTAAATAGTATTCATGGAAAGCATAATCTGTTATACTGTCTGCTTACTACAGGTTTTGAAGAATAGGAAGGTAGGAAATTTTCATCTATTGTCCATAGAAAATTTCATCCACCTAATCAAGTTAAAAATACATCAATTACTAAGCCAAGACCAGACATTTTCTCCATTAAACTCAGTTTCACTGTACAATAATTTGTTAAATGGATTAATTTGTTTAAACTATAATTTAAAGTAAGTAATTGTTAAAAATAAAATCCTGTTCCTGACTGATGTGAAATATCTAACATCAATAAAGAACATTTAAAATTTTTTAAACAAGGATATTTGTCTATTTTTTAACAGGACTATTTTTAGAAAAGTAATATTGGAAGAATTTTAAATATTATTACCTCACACAATTCTTTTTGTTTAATAGTCACTAATTTTGAAGTATCTTTATTTCCAAATATTCCTTTTTTCTTTTTGCCTTCCTAAAAAAGAAAAAAAAAATTATTATTATTTTATTTCATTATAATTAAATTAATATTCTTAAGGTATTAAAAATCTTTTTTAAAATAATTTGATCATCATCATAAGAAATTTAAAAAGTTTAATTCATTTACTGTAAAAAATTTTTTTTAAATTATAATAAAAAAATCTAGTTAGTTTAAAGTTTTTAGTCAGAGGAATAATTATAATATTTATTTACTTCACACAGTACAATCTTCAATTGGTATTAAATTGTACAATCGTGTCTATGTTATGAAAATAACTGAAAATTTGACATTAAAAAAAATATGAATTTAATAAATTACATGATGACCTATTAGCTTTTAAAACACAATTCTTTAATATAAGAAAAAAATGTTATTTAAAACAACAAATGTTCTGTAGATGAATGAATATGGTTGTTAACCTTGGATCCTGACATGAACTGAACATAAATCAAATCAATCAAATAAATAAATTGATGTACTGAAGTACAATTTACAGAAGTTATTATAGATACATAAAATTTATTATAACTGTTATAACTAACTTCTTTGGGAGTTAAAATAATGCTTTTGATATTTCATAAATATAATTCTGATAATTGCTTAAAAATATAATACTATTTTATTTCTAAAGAACAATAGACTTATTCTAAGTTAATTTTCAACTAAGAGTTCAGGCATCTGAGAAACTTAGTTAATTTTTTTTTAATATCCACATATCCATTACTGTCAGTTTTCACAAAAAGTTAATTTGTCCTGATTTCTCTTGTAAACTACATATTTCAACATTTTTAATCCTTTTTGTATCAGGTTAAGAATTTCAGCTTTTTAACACTCTTTATAAAACAAAAGAACAAGTTTTATAAGCAAGCACAACCAGCATACCAGTACATGTATTGTTTAGTTTTTTCACATACAAATGATCAATTTGATATTAAAAATAAACAAATTTAACATGTGACAATATAAAATAGTCATCACAGAGATGTTAAATTTATAATGAAATAAAAATTAATCTTTATGTGAAATTTTAATTAAGCCATATCTAATTGTTAGATTATCATCCTATACCATCATCAATATTTCATTAGGAATGGTAATTTTTTTTAATTTAAAAAAAAATTGTTTTCTGTATATTAACTAACAAAAAATTTTATTAACAGTATGTGATAAGTGATGATATCAAATGTGGATAACAATGAAATGACCTACATGTGTAAATAATGGAAAAAGAACAGATAAGGACCGTGAAGTGAAAATGTGAAAATAAATATGAAATTGAGTTGATAACATAATCAAACAAATCGACTTCAAAGAACACCATAGCAGGTGACCTTGATAAGTACTTAAGCATGAAAACTTTAGAGAAATGACGATCCATTTGCCTAGTGGGCTACACATAAATTAAATTTTCCCAATGTTTAGTCAAACTGGCTGCTAAATACTTATCAGCTCCTGCAAGCAGTGTGTATTCAGACAGGTGTTTTAGTGAAGCAGGAAACAAATATGAAGAAAAGAGGAACAGACTTCTTCTCATAAATGCAGAAAAGTTAATTTTTCTGCACCATAACCTACCACTTATTAACTTCAGTTATGATAAATAATTTTGTACAATGAAACAAAAAAGTTAATTTAATTTTCAAGTTTATAATAAGGGATGATTTCATAAAAATGCTTTACAGATCATTAATTATTATTTTTTTCAAATTTTATGACCTAAGTTTCGAACTAATGTGCCCACACAGTAAAAATTTTCATACAAATTTTTTATACTTTTTCACCCTTTTAGGCTTAAATTTTGTAAAATCTTTTCTTAGCACACCTAAACTTTACACAAGGAACACACGCTCGAATTTTTAAGTTTCTAGCACCAGTAGTTTTGGCTCTGCGTTAATTATCCTTTCAGAACTTGTTCTTTTATATACGAGTATATAGATGACTAAACTACATAATAAGTAGATAGTTTTCATTTGATTTGTTACCTTTTTCTGATCTCTTAAAAAAATAACTTAGTTATATTACTTTTCCTCTAATCTTTTATGTAAATAAGCAAAAAATTGTGCTTTCTCAAACTTGAAATGTATGTTCAGCATTAATAAAAGTTACCAAAATGATTAATTTACTGTGTTTTTATTATTTCTTACTCCTATATTTAGGTTTCAGTATTCAGACAATTGTGATTACATATTCGGTATTTGGCCGAATACTGAATAGTAACCAAATATTCGTTGCATCTTTATTATAAACCATCTTAAATATAAACATTATGTCGATTCTTAAAGATATAACTATTTTAAATTATATTGTGAATATTTTTTGATATTTGGAATTTTGAACAGAATTTTATAAATTATAATAATTTTATTTTAACTGAAATATAATAGAAAATGAAATTTACTTTTAAGATTATTTTAATTCCTTTATCAGGGATTATTTCAGTTCCAACAATTTCTTCCCATGTATAATGCCAGTCTGTAGACCACTGACCAAATACGTCACCTTTTGTGATTAACATCAATCGACTAAAAATAGAGAAACATTGAAAATAAAAAGAAAAGTTTTTTATAATTCTTAATTTAAAACAATATATACATAGATAATATATTGTAGAAAATAGAAATATATGTATAATTTTCTAATATATATTATATAGCACAGGATGTCCCACATAAAACCAGACATCCTTAAATTATGAGGCATTGGTTATGCAAATTTCCATACTATCTTGTGAAGTGAACTAAATTTTCAGAGTTTCTTTGATTAATTTTATGTCTCATTTATCCCATTTTTACCAAATGAAGATTACAATAGTTTACTCAATTAGTGAGTGGGTCTGATTTTACATGGGATAACCTATATGTTTAGCATGATGTTACATTTAACTATGTTTTATTATATTATTACATTTTACATGATAAACTTAATAAAATTAATTTTCTGATAAATTTAGAAACAGAACAAAATATGTATGAAGATCTATATAGTCATCAAAACAACTTGATCCTAAACACTTTTACATTTAGGTCTTATTCAGATATTGTTTTAATAGTTATTTGACTGCAATATAGTTAAAATTGCTGGAATTTCTTCAATTATTTGCATGCTATTGTCAAAGGTGGTAGCAATCAATCAATACTGGATGAATCATATTAATCAATAATAATAATTGTATAGTTTAAAGATTTATTAGTTACAACTTTTAATTCTTTTAACACGTCTATTTAATATCAGTAGATAAAAATCAGAATTTTCACTAAATCACTATTTACCCCACTTAATGTTATCATCAATAGAAAATAAAACACCTTAATTTGTTGCTGAGAAGTATAATTGAAAAACTAACGTTTTCAGCCTGATTAACAGGCCACCATCAGGTCTAAAAAACGAAAATGGAACAGATACGTTCCATGTATAGAATACAAATATTTAAATCAAAATTTAGAACAAAAATTTTTAAAAATATACAAGAGAAACGGAAGAATATATAAAAATAACACAAAATAAACTAAAAAATAAAAAATGTAATAAATCTTCAAAGAAACTAATTCTAGCTTGAGTTTTCAGTGAACTTTTTAATCATATACTTCCACGCTGACGACAGGCTCTCAGCATCTCGCATTCAAACATCCCTCACATAGCCTACTTCTATATATTTCAATCTTCTCCGCTGTCATTGATAAAGTGGGGGAAGATACAGGTTTTATAATTGTTGCCTCGTCCCATTTCACCACCAAACCTTGGACTTGCGACATTTGCGACAAAACTAGCATTGGATCCTTTTTTTACGTTATAACGATGCTCTTTCAGTCTTACTCCTAAGCTCCTGTTGGTGATGCCGATGTAGTCTTTCTTAACATCTAGTTGGATGTTCTCATAAGGAACTTTATAGACACCTGGTTTTTCTTCTGTTTTTATTCTATCTTTATCATTCCTCAATATCTTATATAAATTTGGGGCTCTTTTTAAAACCATTCTTGCTTGTTTCCTATTAGCAACTTCTTTCATAATACTGTTCAAATTACTATTATATGTAAACTTCAAGCACCTATCGGGAGCGGTATTTAAGCTTTTTCTCTCTTTGTTCCTTTCATATTTTTTGAGTAATCCTACAATGGTGCTTTTCTTGTAACCTAGGGTCTGAGCTACTTGCAATATTCTATCAATTTCTTTAAGTATCAAAAACGTTCCG